CGGCCGATTAGTCCCTGGCCGTGCCTTTGCCGCGCCCTTCGCCCGCCGCCCTTAATCTCGCGTATCCATCCCAGCGACTTGACGGCCTGCGCGGCCTGCAGCCGGAGGGACAACGCGGCGCGCGACTGGGGGCGGACGGCGGCACGGTCGGGGGTGTGGCGCTACGCCGCAACGCGAGGTCAGCGGCCGGCCGCAAACGGGGTGGCAAAGTAAGGCATCTCGGCTGTATGTGTGTGTGTGTATTTGTGTGTATCGGCAAAGCATGCCGACGGCAAGCGTGGCGAGGTCGTGGCTACGGACAGGTTGCCAGCGCGGTGGCCGTGCCCGCCCCGCCCCGCCCCACCCCGCCACCGGCAGCGGCAGTGCTGCGCGACGTTGGCACTGCGCTGGCTGCGCTGGTGGGGCCGCAGCGGGCCGAGCAGGCCAAGCAGGCCGTGCTGGAGGGCCGTCCCGCGCCGTCGCTCAGTTCGCCGACAGCGCGTCGCGGGGCCGCATTGCCTGCCAGTGCCCCGCCAGTCAGTCCGCCGCCTTTTCTTCTTGTTGGTTTTGTTTTCCTTTTTTCGCGTCCTTTGTTTCGCGCGTTTCGCGGGCCGGGCGGCGGAATTTCGGTTGCAATTAATCCGAGTGGCGCTCGGTGCGCGTGGAGCGTCGAGGGCGCGCCCGCCGTGCGCCGGTGCCTCTTCCCGCTCGGCCAATCAGAGGACCGGATTGATTCCGTCGGAGCGTCGGTCGGCCGGACGCGCCACTGGACCAACGGTGGCTCTTTTCTAGGATTAGTGTTCAGAAACGCACCGCGCGGAATACGGTCTTTGCCGCCAGCGTGACGCGTCAACTGTCGCCATCCAGAATTCACGCCCGGAAGTGGGGCGGCGACCTCGGCCAACCTCGGCCGCGATGAGAAATTCAGCACGTTGAGGCACGCCGGCCGCGGGGTCAGCGACGCGACCCCCTCCCGTCCCCCGGGCCTCCAGGATGCTGATGTGCCTGGCGCTGCAGCGCGAGGACGCCGACGTCGGCGGGGGGAGGGGCGGCCCCCGCGGCCTCCACCTCGTCAACACCCCCGACCTGCTCGTCTCGCCCGCGGCCTCGTCGCCCGACCTGGTCGCCGGCAGCCCGCACGAGCACCGGTGCCAGCGCGAGTGCCAGCACGGCCCGCAAGGCACGTCGCCGCCGTCCTACGAGAGGTACAGAGAGCTCTCGGTGTAAAAAAGCCGGCGAAGAGAAATTGGAAAAGAAAACTACTCGTGTTTGAACCCGACGGGGTCGCTCTGTCTGAGACAACACGCGTAATAACACTATAGTGTGCGTAAGAGAAGCGTAGTGGAAAAACTCTCCAAATGTAAGTTATTTTTGGGTTGTTTTACACTGGTAAAACTGAAGCGAGTAGTAACCTCTGTTTTCAAGCGTAATCAGTTTACAATTGAAATCAAGCGTAATTGCATGGCTTGACTCAAGCCAAGAGTTACGCTTAAGTTTTACCGGAGTAGCCAAATCCCAATGGTTCTATGCGTCATAGATCGTGATAGGCGTAATAGGCGGGTCACAGGTTTTGATGGTGAATACCCCGTCGTTTGAACCAGTAACCGTGCGTGCATGCCGTACACGCTGTAAACGGGTCACTCGCACTCAAGCTATTCTGGTCCAAAGGGCTGTGAAGGGGTGGGGCCGGGCGGGGCGGGGCGGGGCGATGATGATAAGAGGGAGACAAGGTGGAGGCGGGGGAGGGGCTGGAAGGGGTGGCAGCTGGGCCACGTAGCTTCGCCTAGCTTCGCGTAGCGGGCGTCAGCAGTCCTGCATCACGCAGGCCCTGTCGTCGTTGTACGCCGCCGCCGCCTGATGTCGACGCGATAGTGAATGTCACCCCTCTCTCTCCCACCCCCACCCCACCCACGTGTCTCCGCTTCCTCCAGACACGTCACTCCGCAGTCGCACACGGCCGTATTCAATGGTTGTTGCCAAGGCCGGCCAGGCCGACTCATAGTCACGCCAACTTCCAGGTAACTCCGCGCGGAGCTTCGCCGTTTGGGAGAGAGAGTTTGCACCATCGCGCCGAAAACCACAGAAAACACGAGAAACTGAATTTCAAAGCGAAAGTTGGCGCGTGTGGGTGCAGACGGCGCGTTAGTTGGCTGACTGCGCTGCCTGCACTCTGCAGTGGCTGGCAGTGTCTATTAGTCAGCCTCGACTCATCTCACCGCAGCCGGCCTGCAGCCCTGCAGCGCTGCGCAGCCCCCTGGGGCCGCCAGCCCCAGCCAGCCCCAGCCGAGCCACGGAGTCCTGGAGCGTGCCCGATAAGCACCTGGCTGCCTAGTGTAGCAGCGGCGGCAGCGGCCCAGTGTCTCGGAGGCATCCTGATACGGAGCAACCCCTTGGTCCCCTCGGCGGCCGCAGCCCCCTGACCCCGCCCGCACCGCCCCGCTGTTCAACGTGACCCGGCAAAAGAAAAGGCCGAGCCAGAAGCAAAAGACCGCCGCAAAAAGACCTCACCGTCCCGGCAGATCGGTGCACGGTGGGCCAGAAGACCGGTGGAGGCGGTCGAAACCCCGGACGGGTTTTGAGCTCCAGAGTCGCTAAACGGTACCCAAGTGGAACGTGTGACCCCACCAATGGATTGCTCTCCTCACGAGGAATCCATTGGTGGGGTCACACGTTTTGTTCGAGTCCCGTTTAGCGACTCAAGCTCAAAGCGCGTCTGGAGTTTTAGCCGCCGTCGGCGCCGGTCTTCTGGCCCACTGTGCGGTGCTCTCCGTTGTGACTCGTGTTGCTCTGTCAAAAGGCCCGCAGTGGCGATTCCCCTTCCCCTCCCCCGCCTGGCAGTCGGTTCGAGCAGCGACCTGCAATCAGTGATTAATTACAAGCTCGGCCGACCTGCCCTGAGTGCGCCACGGCCCGGCCACGGTCCCGCCGCCCCATTGCACCTCAACAAGTAGGAGGGCCTGCGTGGCCTGCGCGGGGCGGCGGGGAAGTCCCTCCACTGTTCCGCCCCGGCCCCGCCCTCCACGGCGTCGCCTGCGCCTGGCAGAGGCGCGTCTCATTTTTGCGGGTGTCGTGTCACACTCGTCACACTCGCGTCACGCGGCGCGACGAAGGGCGTGAGGCGTGACGAGGCGGCCCTCCCAGGCCCTTCGCCCTTTCACACGCACGCGTGCTCACCCATACCATTACCTTGTTGGTCCCAAAGGGCCGAACGGGGCCGAAGGGCGGGGTGCCTGGCCCGGCCGGCCCGGCCTGCGCACCGATATTCGATCGCATAACAATGTCGCTGGGCCCCGCCCTGCCCCGCCTCCGACAGGCGGCAGGCTGCGTATGGCAAGCTCGTCCTCCCCTCGCGGTGAGACTCCGCGGTGGGAGGAAGCCGATGGCTCGCAAGGCACTGGCCCAAAGTTGCGAGCGCCGTTGCTAAAAGGAAGAAAAACATCAAAATTTGATTCATTATGTTTTTGTTTGTCTTTGGCGCTCCTTTTTGGTCGGGCTGGGCGGCGGTCCAATTATCGAGCCTCCCTTACGTTCCCCTCCCCCCCCCCCCAACCGCCCCGCACACACACGGAAGAAAACAATTTGTCCCAGCAGTCTGTCCGGCCGTCCGGACGGCGTCCCACCCTCGGCGTGCACACTGAAAAATTAGCGCGCTCTCGGACGCAATGACCCTCCAGCTGCCGGACAAGCGCTCGCATTTGTTTGGCGTGGTAGGCGCGCTGCGGTGAGTTAGCCCCCCCCCCCTTTCCCCTCGGGTCGGGGACACTGCTTTTAATGTGCCTCGTCCTTCGTTAGGCCCCGCAGTCCTAATGCATCCTGCAAATGGCGACCTTCCTTAACTTTCTGAGACTGTACCCGACCGTGGAGGTGCCGTGCTGTCTGGGGGAGGGAGGGGGCTCGTGTGGGAGGGTATCATCACCTCATGCAGAAACCTCGCTGGTTTTCCTGACAGCTCCCCTCCCCCTCCCCTTCCGGGTCGGCGCCTGCCTGGTTTACGGATGATCCCTCCTTACGACCTTCTCTTTGACTCGTTTGTCGTAATCTCGATGCCTCCATTTTTCCTTCCTTTTTGTCGCCTTTCCTATCCGCATTCCTCCCTGGTCCTTTCCACCCCCTTTCCCCGCCCCCGCGCCGCCCCCGCGCCCCGCCACGTAGTCGTCCCTTCCGAGGTCCTTGACGAGGACATCCATCAACTTCCCTTAGGCCTCAACCGCGCGGACGGCGACATGCCGAGGTCGAGATCCAGATAGCAGCGTACAAGCGTATCAAATTTGTCCACCACCTTGCAAGGCCTTGGAGTGCTGAGCTCCGACCAAGCTCCTGGCGACGCACAGTGGGCCAGAAGACCGGCGGAGGCGGCCAAAACTCTAGACACGTTTTGAGCTCCAGAGTCGCTAAATGGGCCTCGAACCGAACGTGTGACCCCACCAATGGATTCCTCGTTCGGAGAGCTATCCAATGGTGGGGGTCACACGCTTGGTTCTAGTCCCATTTAACGACTCTGGAGCTCAAAACGCGTCTAGGGTGTTGGCCGCCTGCACCGGTCTTCTGGCCCACTGTGCGACGGCCCCGGTCAACAAACCACCCAAACACTCTTCTGGAGCGGAGCGACCGGCTTGGCACCCGAGGGGCTTCTCATTTGTTTCCGAAAGTCGTGGTGGAGTTTTAGCGGTGCACACGGCCTCCCTACTGGCCATTGAGACTGAAACTGTTTCTTTGTTCAGGCAACATTTTTTATCGTATTGTGCATTCGGTCCCCTCGGACCGGCCGCTTTTTCCACGTTCCGCGATAGAAAAGGGCCCTAGACGTTATTTATGATTTCATTAGGCAGCGTGACGTCACGTCGTCACGTGACACGGCGGCCCTGACTTATTGCCTTCGTGTCGGCGTACGTCGTCGCTTCCACCCGAAGCCAGCTCGAAAAAAAAAAGACCACGGGGAAAAAAATCGCCCCAAAACGCCAAGAAAAATGAGTTTCCGTTTGTTTTTGTTTTCTTGACAGTGTGCTTTTCTCTGATTGCAGCCACCTGACCAGGTCGTCGTCCTGGCTTCCCCCTCCAGAAGCCTGGCCTTACGCAGGGGGTGACCTGCCCTTCGGCTGGGAGCAGGCAGTGGACGCCAATGGCAAGCATTACTACATCAAGTGAGTCCCTGGTCACTACTTTTGGCTCGGCCAAGTCACAATACCCGGCCGCCGATCACTTACCTCGTGACTTTTGCTCCTAGTGCAAAGTCAAAGAGCTGTAATATGTAAATTTCTATAGCCATATGTAAAGTCAAAAAATATGTATGTCACTAAAAAAATTTGCATGAAAATTTCTAGCTGTTTCCACTGTAAAGACAAATAGACAAGACCTCTACAATCTAGTATTTAATGTAATTAGGACCTAGAAATTATGGTATCAATTTCTGGAATAATTACTTATTTACGAGCCTTGCTGTACATATTTCAAGCCTGCCCCAGCAAAATGTTTCTGAAGGGAGAGTCTCGATCTGGTTCTGTCGCTCACCTCTTCCTAGCTTGTCACTTCTTCACTCGAGACGAAATAATGAGCACTGGCGAACACGAGAGCGAGTTGGAGTCGAACCAGCTCACCTGCTGTTCCCGAGCTGCGAGCGATCCCTCAATGAGGTCGGGATTTGAATCGGGGAATTCCGCGGTAAATTGCAAATCCCGCCGATTTTCTGTGGCCTGTGGCCGTCGCGACGGACCGGTCTTGTCCTTCCCTGCAGCGCTGCTCCAGGAATGCAGCACGAAACGAGAGAGAGAGAGAGAGAGAGAGAGAGAGAGAGAGAGAGAGAGAGAGAGAGAGAGAGAGAGAGAGAGAAGAGGGGGGAGTGACCGAACAGGATCACGTGAAGTTCGACGGACTGAGATGGACGCCGATGCGGCGGGACCGAAAACGCAGGACTGCCCACCCCATCAGACTGATTCCGAGGGGTATGTCTCTCTCTCTCTCTCGCACTCATGGGGCGTCCCGCTTCAGTGCGAGAGAGACTGCAAAAGCACTGTTCGGAATCAGTCTACAGGGGCGCTGCACAGTGGGTCAGAAGACCGGAGGATGCGGCCAAAACTCTCGACGCGTTTTGAGCTCCAGAGTCGCTAAATGGGACTCGAACCGAGCGTGTGACCCCATCTTTGGATTCCTTGTTCAGAGAGCAATCCATTGATGGGGTTACACGTTCGGTTCAAGTCCTATTTAACGACTCTGAAGCTCAAAACGCGTCTATAGTTTTGGCCGCCTTTGCCGGTCTTCTGGCCCACTGTGCGCTGGGCTTCGCGGCCTCGGTACAGCATGTGGGTCTCGGTGTTGCCGCGCCGCCTTCCAAGGCCCTCGCACAAAAGCGGCCGCCACAAAACAGGGCTGTAAACCACTGCAATCGTATCGAACACGTCTTGCGGTCGGCAGGTTCGCTGTGTAATTCGCAGCACGGCTCCGCGCTCGGCCCCCTGCGGGGCACTCCCGGGGGCACCCCCGTGGCCACTCCACAGGGAACCCCGCAGGGAACCCCGAAGGGGCCACGGAGACCGTTCTCCTTGGGGCGTAAGGCAATCCCTGCCACCGCCACCACCACCACTGCCTCTACCACCCTCCTCAGGTAGAGCATGTCTGCACGGTTGCTGCTGCCTTGGCGCTGCCCCCGCAAGAAGGCTGGCTGCTGAATGTGTCGCATTGTCTCTGCCGCTAGCGAGCTCGCTGCCGAGCCCCCGCATGCTGGGGGCGGCGATGTGTTTCATTTGGTGTCGACAATGAGCTTGAAGCAGCCGACTCACACTGACTCAAGTTTCTGGCTTGAGATGTCGCGGAGGGCGCGCTAACCTGTTGCTTCGAATAGGGTGCGACAGAGAGGGATTAGCCCCGGGAAGTAATCTCTGAAGCCGGAGTGAGATGGTGCTCACGCGTTGAGAGAATGAGCACCATTTCCTTAGAATTAGAGATGTCTGCTTTTCTAGTAATTTTTTTTTCAGAGATATTTTGCTAGTTTTAATCACGTAGCGCTGCTTAAAGCACGCACGCGCACAAGGCAAATCGCATTTGATGCTCTTCTTTTCAAAACAAAATAAAGCTTTTTTTCTGGCACGTGTAGCTTTCTTTTGAATTTTTATGTACCTTTTCTAAAAAAATTTATTTTATTTTTGTTAAAACGTTTGTTTTTCTTTTTAAATTTTGCACGACAGCACTTCATGTTCTAACATTCCATTTTGAAAACTATCGTGCTATCGCTGACTTGAAGCCCATCATAATTAGGCTTTTCGCTGCAGATCTCTTTCCAGTGGTACCCAAACGTTTCAAAGACGGTGTAGCAAAACCTGAGGCCGGCTTAATTTCCACCCGGTTTCCTATAAAAACAACACACCCTTTTTCGTCATTTATTTTAAAACACACTATTTCTTTCTTTGTTCTCCTTTTCCCTTTCGTCTTTTCCTCCCTTTCTTTTCTTTTCCTTCTACCACCCTGCATCCACCCCGTTTCCACCCTGCATCCACCCCGTGTCCCATTCTCTGCATCCCCCACCAAAAAACCGGTGTAGCTGCTACACCGTCTATCCCGTTTGGGCGCCACTCGTTGTCTCCTCCTTCGAGTGGGGACTGCACTTGCACTGGCCGTGCCGCTGCCTGACGCGTGTGTCCTGGCGCAGCCATGTCAACAGGACGACGTCGTACCAGGACCCCCGTTCGTGCCGGGCGTGGCGCGACGCGGAGGAGGCCCCGCAGCCGCGGACGGTGCGGCTGCTGCGGCACCCCGAGCAGGGCTTCGGCTTCGTGGCGGGCAGCGAGAAGCCCGTCATCGTGCGGTAAGGCGGGAGCAAAACGCACCACGCGCGACAAGAATCAAGTGCGAACCAGCCGGCTGATTCCAAGAGTCGTTTCCGTCGCTCTGTCTCTCTCGCACTGATGGGCTGTCCCGCATAGGCGTGAGGGAGACAGCGACGAAAACGGCTCTCAGATTCAGTCTGCTGGTTCAATACATTCAACGCCACTTTCCTGACGGACTTGTCCCTCCAGATTCGTGACGGAGAGCGGTCCCAGCGAGGGCCACCTGCAGCCCGGCGACCAGATCCTCTGCATCAACGGCGAGGATGTCAAGGACGCGCCCCGGGACCGCGTCATCCAGTTGGTGCGCGCGTGCCCCGCCACTGTGGCACTCGTCGTGTGCCAGCCCCCCCTGGACAACGTCAGTCATCTTATTTCCTCCTCTCAATGTTCGTTTGGTTTTTCAAAAAAAAGAAATCACTGTTGTTTTTGTTTCTAGTCGGCGAGGAAATCAGCGCTGCTGTCGGCGGCCAAGAAAGCCAAGCTGCGGTCCAACCCGTCCAGGGTGCGGTTCGCGGAGGGCGTGGCCGTCAGCGGGGCGCCGCTCTTCCCGGTACGTCTTCGTCTTCGGCAAGGCTAGGCCTGCACAGTGGGCCAGAAGACCGGCGGCGGCGGCCAAAGTTCTTCACGCGTTTTGAGCTCCAGAGTCGCTAAATGGGGCTCGAAACGAGCGTGTGACCCCACCAATGGATTGCTCTCCGAACGAGGAATCCATTGGTGGGGTCACACGTTCGGTTCGAGTCCTGTTTAGCGCTGGAGCTCAAAACGCGTCTAGAATTTTGGCCGCCTCCACCCCTCCACCGGTCTTCTGGTTCGCTGTGGCCTAGCTGCCGGGCGCCTGCCGGGTAGGCAACCGGTCCGCTGGCGAGACGCTCGCGTCGGCCGGGACTGCCTATCCTCCGCACCGCAGGCGCTCTCGGCGTCCTTCAATCAACGCGCCGAGAAAACTTACTTGACTTGGTTTAACTTGCAGCCCTCGACGTTCGCCGGCGCGGACGCGGCGCTGCCCTTCATGCCCAACGTGCTCAAGGTGTTCCTGGAGAACGGGCAGACCAAGAGCTTCAAGTACGACGCGAGCACCACGGTGCGCGACGTGGTGACCTCGCTGCAGCAAAAGCTGTGCATCAAGGCCACCGACCACTTCGCGCTCACCGTGGAGCACGTCAAGAGCCTGCGCAGGAACAAGCTCACCCTGCTGGACCCCGACGAGCCGCTGTCCAAGGTGGGTGCTTTGCTTTGCAGTGGTGCGGCCGCTCGCCCAAGCGCACAGTGGGCCAGAAGACCGGTAGAGGCGGACAAAACTGTAGACGCGTTTTGAGCCCCAAAGTCGCGAAGCAGGACTTGAACCGAACGTTTGACCCCACCAGTGGATTGCTCTCCGAACGAGCATCCATTGGTGGGGTCACACGTTCAGTTCAAGTCCCATTTAGTGACTCTGGAGTTCAAAACGCGTCCGGAATTTTGACCGCCTCCACCGGTGTTCTGGCCCACCGTGAGGCGTGTTCCAGAGAGTCCATTTCTTTTCCGTCGCTCTGCGTTTCTCTCGCAGCTGTACGGACGCCCCATGAGAGCGAGAGAGACAGAGCGACAAAAGCGTCTCTCGGAATCAGTCGGCAGTGCACCCCGACGGCCTATCACCCTGCGGGAACGGACAGGTGGAGTCGGAGCGCATGGCTCGGTCAGGTTACCGACGCGCTGCCCGGTGCACTGCCGACGACGCCCCGAGTGGTGGAGTACGAATCGAAGCCCTCCCCGCGCGGCGCGCGGCGGGTTGCACGTCTTGAATGAGCCGTCTGTTCGCGTTTTATGGACGCTAAAATCGGGAGGATTTATGCCGAAATTACGAACCCGCCTCCGCGACTCTGGCGGATAATATTGCGGGCATGTGGCACCGCCGGGTGGAAAGCGCCCAAAGCGCGGAAAGCGGTCTCGCCTCAGGTCTCGCCTTCGCCACTGCCAATGCCGCACGGCGCCGCAGCGCGCTGGTGGCGCCGGTACTTGCTTTGCGGCCTTTGCGGCGCGGCGTGTCGACCTACGCGGCGCGGCCCGCCTTTGAAATAAGTACGAATGGCGTACATGGAGCTAACAAGCTCGCCGCACCTGTTTACCTTAAGCTGGCCTGGGGTGCACAGTGGGCCAGAAGACCGGTGGAGGCGGCCAAAACTCTAGTCGCGTTTTGAGCTCCAGAGTCGCTCAATGGGACTCGAACCGAACGTGTGACCCCACCAACGGGTAGCTCTCCGAACGAGAAATCCGTGGGTGGGGTCACACGTTCGGCTTGAGTCCCATTGAGCGACTCTGGAGCTCAAAACGCGACTGAAGTTTTGGCCGCCTCCACCGGTATTCTGGCCCACTGTGCGGCAGCCCCGATACATGGCAGTCCTGGGACTGTCCAGCAGCCAGTTCTCAGTCAGCCAGTACCACTACTCTGGGAATCAAGACAAGACTAACTGCTTGATGCGTCCTTTCCAGATCGCTGCTCGGCCCGGCGCCCACAACCTGCGATGTCTCTTCAGGGTGGCGTTCGTTCCGAAGGATGCCTGCCAACTCGCTCAGAGGGACCTGACTGCCTTCGAGTACCTGTACCTTCAAGTGAGTGCACGCCAAGGGGTACCCAACTCAAGATAATCATTGCACGTCTAGTTGGAAATCAGTGAAATAATCAACATCATCCAATGAAATGACAATCATACTTTCGGGGATTCAATCACTTTTAACCATTTTTGCGAGACCACTGCTCCCAAACTATCAGCGGTCAAAGCCTTCCCGAGGCGGGGCATGAAAGAGTAGGGCCTTCAGAATAGTAAGGCGTCGAGGGAGGCCTTTGACCGCAACTAAATTGGACGCAGTGACCGCTCAAAGTCAGCAAAAACGGTGATTTTCTGAAATTCATTCACATTTTGACCATTTTTGCGAGACCACTGCTCCCAAACTATCAGCGGTCAAAGCCTTCCCGAGGCGGGGCATGAAAGAGTAGGGTCTTCAGAATAGTAAGGCGTCGAGGAAGGCCCATGACCGCAACTAAATTTGACGCAGTGGCTGCCCAAAGTCACCCTGAATTTCCGACACTTTAACAGCTTTCTGAGGTCGCCGCTCAAATAATCCCCAATATTTCCCAATGATCAACATAATAACCTCCTATAATCAGTGATAAATACTAAAATAATCAAAAGAAATCACATGTAATCATACTCTAAATATAATCAGTGTACATGAAAATCTATAGTTGGTTACCCCTTGGTGCACGCACTTGAATTTACAACTTTCTCCAAGCGTTTTCTTAGAAATAAAGTGATATTTATTTTGAAAACTGTTTCGTTTTCTCTCCCTTCAGTGCTGCAACGACGTGGTCCAAGAGCGCTACGCCCCCGAGCTCAAGTACGACATCGCCCTGCGGCTGGCCGCCCTGCACATCCACCAGCACGCCGTGTCCAACAACATGACGGGGAAGGTGACCGTCAAGATGATCGAGTAAGTACACACCGCACAGTGGATTTACCAAAAGACCGGTGTGGGCGGCCGAAACTCTAGACGCGTTTTGAGCTCCAGAGTCTCCAAACAAGGACTCAAACCAAACGTGTAACCCCACCAATGGATTCCTCGTTTGGAGAGCAATCCATTGATGGTTCACACGTTCGGTTCGAGTCCCATTTAGCGACTCTGGAGCTCAAAACGCGTCTGGAGTTTTGGCCGCCGGCATCGGTCTTCTGGCCCACTGTGCTCCGTGAGTCCGTCTCCCTTCCGTTCGCGGCCGCCTTCATGACCCCCGTTTCGACAGACGCGAGTTCGGCCTGGAGCGGTTCGTGCCCGTGTCCCTGATGGAGACGATGAAGCGCAAGGAGCTGAGGAAGATCATCGGCCACTTCCTGAAAATGAACCAAAACATGACGACGGCGTCCGGCCTGGGCCACAAGAGCCTGACGTCACTGCAGGCCAAGCTCTACTACCTCAACATCATCTCCCAGCTGCCGTCCTACGGCGCCAAGTGCTTCAGCACCAACATTAGAGTAAGCGCAACGCGTCGGTCAACTTTTTGTATCCGAAAGGCCACGGAATTTGACAACCTCTGCGTCGCTTGCAGGACTCCAACATGGAGACCGTGATCCTAGTCAGCCCGAAGTTCGGCATTAGTCAAATCGTCGGCATGAGGAACAGTCTGGTAAGCGCGTTTCCCGTCCTGTCTTCGTTTTCCACGTTGTTCTCGCATTTCATTTCGGCTTGGTGCGCGCAGCCTGTGCCGCTGGCGGAGATCGAGCAGATGACGGAGGTGAGCGCGACGCGCGAGGACGAGATCTCGCGCTGCGTGCGCATCGGCATCCCCAGCCTGCCCGAGAAGCAGCTGGTGCTGAGCATGGAGGACCGCGACGCCGAGGAGCTGGTGCTGGTGCTGGTGGGCTACTACCGGCTGCTCACCGGGCAGCAGCTGCCCATCCACCAGGAGCGCGAGCAGCAACCCGCAGGCAAGCGGTCGCCCCGTCTCTCTCGCACCCATGGGGCGTCCCACGGTGGATTTGCCAGGACACCGCTGGAGGCGGCCCAAATTGCAGACGCGTTTTGAGCTCCAGAGTCGCTAAAGGGGACTAGAACCAAGCGTGTGACCCCACCAATGGATTCCTCGTTCGGAGAGCCATCCATTGGTGGGGTCACACGTTCGATTCGAGGTCCATTCAGCGACATCATCATCGCTGGAGCTCAAAACGCGTCGAGAATTTTGGCCGCCTCCACCGGTCTTCTGCCCCACTGCGGCCGCATAAGTGCGAGAGAGACAGAGCGACGCAAACGACTCTCACGCTGCAGGCCAGAACAACAGGTGCTTGTTTATTCGGAGCCACGAATGCTAAAGCTATAAAGCCATTTTGCCCCAACAGCGCCGCCGTACCGCGGCCAGCACGCGGTACTCCCCGCGCCCTGGAGCTACGCCACCGAGGGCGAGAAGGCGGTGCAGTTCGCCAACTTCTCCATGCCGCCAAGCTACCACACTGCGGCCTCCGCGCCCACCGTGCTGGACGCCAACCACTACGTCAGTTTATTTCTACGTCTTTGCGCACGATAAACAGTTTTCTTTTTTTTTTTTAAAGCCTTAGAAATGATTTATTTGACTTTTTTAGATCACTGCCAACGGACATCCACCCATCGCCGGCAGCAAAACGGTCACCTTCGCGCCGCACGCCAACGTGTACCCCGTCGACGACAACATGAACACAATGTAAGTTCACTCGCGGTGGAACATGATGTTAGACAAGAGCGTCCTCATTTCAAACCGTCTTCGTTTCTCGTTCTCATCGTTAGGCTCGGCAAGCTGCCGCCGCCGCAGGACGACTCGGGCTTCGACCTGCAGAGCGTCGTCTCCATGGAGATCCTGGAGGGCGACTTGGACTTGGTGGAGGCGCGCAACGAGGAGGTGAGCACACTCATAAAATTGGCGACGAAAACATCGGATGGGCCAGAAGGCCGGCGCAAGTGGCCAAAGCTCTAGACTCGTTTTTGAGCTCCAGAGTGTCGCTAAACAGGACTCGAACCGATCGTGTGACCCCACCAATGGATTGCTCTCCGAACGAGGAATCCAAAGGTGGGGTCACACGTTCGGTTCGAGTCCTGCTTCGAGTCCTGTCTAGAGACTCTGGAGCTCAAAACGCTTCTAGAGTTTTGGCCGCCTCCACCGGTCTTCTGGCCCACTGTGCGATTCGGCTTTCCTCGCTAACGGGCTTGGCTCATGGTGGTTCCCCATTTTACTTGTTGGACGCGTCGGAGCTCTAACTGCGACACTGTAACCCAGGTGCTGCGGAGGGTGGCGGAGATGCAGGAGCTGGTGCAGAGCTCGGAGCAGTACCTCACGCAGCAGGAGCGGCCGCCGCAGGGCCTCCGCGACCTCGGCCACGCGCACACGGCGCACGGCCACGCCCGGGAGGGAAGCGTAAGCGACTCAGAGTGTTCCTTCATGTCGTCTGCAGTAGACTCGGACGCGCCGCCGCCCGGCCAGCTCAAGCACAGTGACTCGCTGCTACTGCTCACCCAGGTTGGCTTTTAGCTTCTAGAGACGCGCTGCAACACTGTCGGAAGCCAAGTTCTTCACTTAATTTTCACCTTTCTCAAAAAGTTTTCCGTTTATTGCATTTCATAGTATTGAGGCAGTGTTTAATATATAGTAAAGCGCTTCTGTTCCGGCTTGGTGAAATGCTTTCTTTCAATGTTGCAACGCCGAGCTATGTATTTAGTGATCAAGATACCGTAAACTAGTTTCTTAGGCTTTTTATTTTCGACACATGCTGATAAAGTTCAATGTGCTCTATATGTAGCAATACGACGTCAAGCTCTTCAACGTTGTGTGCATGCTAGATGTACTCGTCCGCGCCGTATTCGTTGTGAAGTAGGAGGGCCAGTCGAGCGAGACTGCTCACCGTGTCTGGGGTTGCAGGGCAACAAGCTCGCCGACGAGGACCTGACGGCGGCCATCGCCCACATCGACCTCGGCGAGGAGCCCTCCGAGTCGGACACGGACTCGCTGAGCACGCCGGGGGAGAGCCCGTCGCACAAGGCGCAGACAGGTACAGCCTTGTCAGACGTCGGCTAATTTCTGCTTTCATTGGAATTGAACTGATTTGACTTGAATTGATTTTCAGACGGCGAGGCCCGGCGGCACTCCCTGCTGCGCCCGAGCGACTCCAGCTTCGGCCTGCACAGTCCGGACACGGACAACCTTCGGCCGGGCAGTCAGCACTTCCAGGTAAACACGTCGAGAGGGCTCCTCTGCCATCGAAAAACGCGACGAAATGTAACGAAAACATCCCGCAGGACCTGCTGAAGCGGATGCAGGCCGAGTCGGTGCTTCCCGAGAACACGTTCTGCCTGGACCCCGACATCATCGACCTCACCCTCATCCCGCCGCCGGTGACGCCGGACGACGAGGCCGTCGACGGCGTGGACGGCGCCCCGATGCGGGTGCCCTTGCCGTCGTCGCCGCTCAATGTGCCCCCCACGCCCTTCGCGGACCAGACGCCGCTCGAGGTGCAGCTGCACAGCCTGGAGAAGATGCTGCACGGCAGCGGCGCGCAGGCCGAGCCCGACTCGGCGCCCGTCGAGGTACCGACGTCTTGTCGACAAAAACATGTTTTTAATTAGCCTTCCCTAGCCTGCCCTCTATACCCCTGCTCATTGACAGCCTCTTTTGAGTCTCCCCTCTCTCTTTCTTTCTTTCTTTCTTTTTCTCTCTCTCTCTCTCTCTCTCTCTCTCTCTCCCTCTCCCTCCCTCTCTCTCGGCGGCTACATTGGTGCTCTGCCCCCCACAGGCGCTGCTCGACGCGGGCCTGTCCCTGGACCTGGAGGCCTTCCTCAAGTCCGTGATGGTGCCGCCGCCTCCACGGGTCGCCTCGCAGCCCCAGCAGCCGCCAAGCAGCAGCAGCAGTAGCAGCAGCAGCAGCAACAGCAGCACGGCCAGCACCGCCACGGCCGTGGAGTTGACGCCGGAAGAGATCTCGTCCTTCATCATCCCGCCGCCTCCGTCCACCGTAAGAGCAAGGCCACGCCTCCCTCGTTGAGGCGCCAGCCAGCAGCGCGTAAGCAGGCTCTTTTTCGCCCCGCCGTGTGGTCGTCTGCCTGCATGGAGTAGCGTCCACCCTGACCGGCTGGTCCGCCAGCACCACCACCACCAGCATGGTTTGGGCACCAGAGCGTTTCAGTGTTGCAGGCTAGCGTCACACGAGCATGTCTGACTGAAGAACCCGGTTTTAGAAAGTTTCCCCCAGAAATGAAATCGCCTCCTGACTTTCCCGAATGTGACTCCCTCCACAGCCCGTCGCCGCCGTGCTCTCGTGCCAGAGGGACGCCGACGACGAGACCCACCCGCTGACGCGGCTCAACGGGGAGCCCTGCCCGACGGCCACGCCGGAGGAGCTGCGGCGCATCCCCAGGACGTACCACTGCGCGCCGCTGCCGCCGCCCAGGGTGTCGGTGGACAGCGCGGTGTCCTTGTCCCTCACGAGCGACACCACTGCCTCGGAGGAGCCCACGTACGGCAACACGACGGTAAGCGAGGCGCCGCGCGATGGGCCAGAAGACCGGCGGAGGCGGCCAAAACTCTCGACGCGTTTTGAGCTGCAGAGTCGCTAAATGGGCCTGGAACTGAACGTGTGACCCTACCAATGGATTCCTCGTCCGGAGAGCAATCCATTAGTGTGGTCACACGCTCGGTTCGAGTCCCATTTAGCGACTCTGGAGCTCAAAATGCGTCTGGAATTCTGGCCGCCTCCACCGGTCTTCTGGCCCACTGTGCGCCGGCCGCATGCATCTCAACACGGTAAAAACGTCCTGGTTTTCCCAGGAACTCGCTGGAAATCGCCTATGCCTTCACCATTAGCTTCCTGGGAAAACCAGGTTCCGTTTTTACCGTGAAGCATCGTGGCGGAAATTTGACCCTTGACGTGGACCTTGGACTTGCAGGCCGACTCTTCTCTCATCCGAGGGTTCATCGACAGCAACGGCGGCCTGCACAGCGTCCCGCTCGCCAAACCGCAGGCCGAGGTGGCGCCCAAGAAGAGGGTCATCGAGTACGCCACCCTCGAGAAGAAGCCCAGCCCCTTCAGCAGCTGCTGCGGCACCTACAGGTGAGGAGACTGCAAGCTCCGCGAAGCACCTCCGAGTGTTTGTGTTCGATTGGACCGTCCCACAGTGGGCAAGAAACCGGCGGAGGCGGCCAAAATTCCAGACGCGTTTTGAGCTCCAGATTCGCTAAATGGGATGGGATGGGACTCGAGCCGAACGTGTGACCCCACCAATAGATTGCTCTCCGGACGAGGAATCCATTGGTGGGGTCACACGTTCGGTTCGAGTCCTGTTTAGCGACCCTGGAGCTCAAAACGCGTCTAGAATTTTGGCCGCCTCCGCCGGTTTCTGGCCCACTGTGCGTCCTTGGGCGGGCCTCTTTCGGGGAGTGATTCTAACCGACCACAGCTCTTGCTTTGCCTGCAGAGACAGTCCGGACAAGACGCCCTCCCCGCTGGGCGACTCCCCGCCCGACGTGACGCCGCTCCCCGCGCCGCCCACGCCGCCCAGGACGCCGTCGCACGCGCCGCCCGAGCGGCCGCCCAAGAACAGCAGCCTGCTGTCGCAGCTCGGCCAGGGCCAGGTCGGCCAAGGCCAGCAAGGCCACAGTCAAGGCCAGGCGGTGCCCGACCTGCCCCCGCGCGCCCAGATGCCGGTCTCCGCGCTGACGCCGCCGCAAGTCTGGCTGCCGCCCAAGCGGCCCGTCAACCACCAGTCGCCCGTCCACGTGAGTCCCGGTGTCGCGAGGGCAGCGCCGCAAGGCGGCAAGGCCGCCAGCCCCGCCGACCTGCGAGTAATGCCGAATGCTTGGCGCTGTTCGCAGGGCACGCTGCGCCGCGTGGCACAGGTCACGCCCCTGCCCGCGGCCGCGGGCCGCACGTACAACGCGGTGGCGGCGAGGGAGTTGGAATCCAACCAGCTCAACCGGCCGTCAAACGGACCGTCAAACGGACCGTTAAACGGCGCGCAGAATGGCGCGTTAAACGGCGCCCTGAACGGCGCGAACGGCGTTAACGGCTCGCCGAGTAACGGCGTGAACGGCAAGGGGCTGCACGCCGAGAGCAACGGGTCCGTGTACCGGATCGCCAACGGGCGCGGGGCACCGACGGCCAGGGTGACCAACCTCATCGGGGGGCTCGCGGCGCCCGGCGCCGTCAGGGTGCCCAGCACGCCGCCACTCAAGCCGCGCAACCCCCAGCACTTCAACACCCTCCCGGCCAAGCCCAGGGTGCAGCAGTTGTCGGTCTACGACAACACTCCGGAGGTACGGCCTCACAACAGCATCACACCACACCGCAGTATCTGAGCTGTGTGGAAAGACAGTTTAACAGCCTGGTTTCCCTCACAGGTGTGGACCGCCCCCGCGCCGGACATGAATGGTCACAGCAACACCAACGGCCATGGCCCCAAGCAGCAGGCGCCGCAGCCGTACTCCAACAGCCACCAGCAGGTGGGTGTCCAGTGTCATGGTTGCTTCCGGTAGACGTAGCAGCATGGTCCTAATGCTCCCCGCGGTTCCAGGCCATCCACATGAGCCCCAAGGCTGGCGGCGGCGGCACCGTGCCCATGTGGACGAAGAGGACCTTGCTGGCCAAGACGGAGGTGGCGCTGGGCGGCCTCCTGGAGCAGCTAGACCAGGTCGCCGACGAGTGCAGCCAGCACCAGCAGTCCGGCGGCGGCCCGCTTATGAACGAGGACAAGTTCCAGGTAAGCCCGCCCCGCTGGCCGCTGCAACTTCTTTACGTGTGTATTTAAACTGTGCGCATGGGTTTTTGGGGGTTGGTTGTTCTTCGGGGTTCCGAGAGGAACCCTATAGTTTTCCCTCCAACACCTCCGGCAAGGTTCAAACAAAATGTCTTCCCAACTGAGACCTTGGTCCCGCAGGTGGCCCGCGAGAGCTTGAGCTCGGAGGCGCGGCAGCTCGTCACGTCGTCCAAGCAGCTCGTGAAGAGCATCACGGACTCGTCGCCGCAGTCGCAGGACGACTCGGACTTGCCGACGCACTTGTCGGCGTGCCTCACGCTGCTGCGCCGCCTCACGCACCTGTCCGCCGACCTGTCGCTGCACACGAGCTGCCCGCTGCAGACCAGGAACCTGGTGCTCAAGGTGCGCCACGTGGTGCAGGCCTTCCGCGCCACCATCCACGACGACGACGCCCAGCTGCCGCAGCGCGCCGAGAACCTGGCCGCCGTGCTGGCGGGGGCCTAGCGCTACTCCGCGCTCTCGGGGCGTTCTCTCCATGGCTCGAGGTAGCGGTGCTACTCCGCGCATTTAGGGTGTTCTCGCCCTAAAGCGGCGTGGCGGCGCTACTCCACGCTCTCGAGGCGTTCTCTCCCTGGCTCGAGGTAGCGGCGCTACTCCGCGTTCTCGGCGAGTTCTCTCCCTAACACGGTGGGGCGGCGCTACTCCGCACTCTCGGGGTGCCCTCTCCCTAGCACAGGGAGGCGAACGAACACCGCCGCAAAGTGACTCTCAGTTTCCCTCGGGACACTCATCGAGGCCTTATTTTAGCTCAATGGACAACGACCACTATGTGAACCTCTGAACGCATACCAAAAATATTTATTAGGAGAGAAGTTGTCTGTCAACAAATGTGGGACTCCGGTTTGACTCCGCCGTAGTAGATAATCAACCGAAAACGTATCAAAGAGACGTATCTGATAACATAAAATGTGAATGACTTACGTAATATAAGGAAAATAAGTATTATGGTAGGGCAAAGTCTTAGATCTTTCAAATGAAACAATCGTGATAAAAGAAATGAAATTTTAATTTAATAGCACTCATATGATACTGAAACATTCTTTTCCATTCTCCAAAGCTTGTTGTGTATAAATGAGATGATTGAATGGATGTGTGACCTGATTTTTTAATGTCTGCTAACACGTTTTGCTAGTCAACCGCACGTTTTGTACGAGCGCAGATTCTGTATTTTGTTTTTAATCCGTTGTGTTTTGTATATAACTAGAGATAAACAATTTACCAGCAGTTGTCAATAAATCGTTTACCAACATTGTAGCAGGCGCGTTGTTACTTTCCAAAGCGTTAGAGCTTTCCCTTCCACAACAGTTTACACTGGCTCGCTTCCCCGGGCAAGGGGGTGGGGGGGGGACGGAAGCGCCCTCGCGCTCGGAGTATCGCCACCGAGAGGGTTCTGCTCGCAGGGGGTAGCGCTAGCGACGCCTCTCCGCCTCGTTCGCCTTGCTCTTGCTGGTGATGACTGCCTTCAGGTCGAATGCGGTGGAATCCGTCGACGGCGGCGGTTCCACGTCCACGTTGGCGCGCACCCACTCGTTGATGGCGGGCAGGGCCAGGTCGGTGAAGGTGGTGGCGCGGCCGGGGACGCCGCACAGGCGATCCCGCTGCAGGGCCACGCCCACCAACTCGCCGCGCCAGTTGACCAGCGGGGCGCCGATGTCCCTCTGCGGCACCGGAAAGTCTCGTCAACATGGGAAAACGCGGGGAACTCTAGCAGTGGTGCGTCACTCACCCATCCGCACATCCCGGCCTGCAATCCGCCCGCGCAGGACACGGTGGTGCCCTCGTAGAAGTAGTACGCGTCCTCGCACAGGTCCTGGTTCACGAAGGGCAAGGTGACCACCTGGATCTGCCGCGTCTCGCCGTCGGCCAGCACCTCGTTCGACTGCAACCGGACATGGAACCAGGAATGCCAATTAGTCAGTGGAGTGGGCGAAAATTGCACCAACATCAGCCTGCCAGCTGGACACTATCTGGACTTTGCTCGCGACAATTTGTCTAGAAGGCAAGGCAGGCTGAGGTTGGCGACCCTTGTCGACACTGGGGCATCGCGGGGAAGTTTTGCCTTCTTGTGTTGCAGCACTGCACGGAATGAAACGCAGAGGGCGGGACAGCCCACCGTGATTCTGTCTCTGTCGAACTCGTGACTGCGACAAAGACAGACACGAATGCTCACCGCCAGGTCACCGTAGCCGGTCATGATGAGCTTCTCGCCGGCGGCGGGCGCGTTGGGCGGCGTCAGGGCCACGGGCTGCACCTCGGCGCGGAAGGGCACCTCGTCCGACAGGTACAAGAGCATCACGTCGTTGTCGGCCTCGGCCGGGTACTGCCACAAGGGGTGCACCAGGAAGCTGGACACGCCGAACGCCTCGCCGCCACCCTCGCGCAGCTGGGCGCCCACGCGGACCCTCATGTACGTCAGGTCCTTGATGTCGTCGGCGCTGGGAGGAGAGGAAAACCGTAAGGGGAGAGAGAGACAGACAGACAGACAGACAGACGGACGGACAGACAGACAGACAGACAGACAGACAGACAGACAGACAGACAGACAGACAGACAGACAGACAGACAGACAGACAGACAGACAGACAGACAGACAGATATGGAGCTTGAATGAACCCACGGAGCTATAGCTTACTCATTGAAGCAGCTGGCGGCCACGAGGACGGTCTTGTTGCTGAGCAGCGCCCCGGCGCACATCATGCTGATGTCATAGTCGATGATGTCCTCATCGTCAAACTCCGGGATCACTCGGTCGATGGCGACCTAGACGGCACGCGATGTTCGCAAACTCAGCGATCTAGCGATTGTTCGTTTACATCCCAAGGAAGAAGAAAATGACCTACGGTGTACGGGTGTTTCTGGATGGTCGTCTGTGAGCTCCCAATGATGGCATAGCTGGTTTGACATCCTTGAACGAACAAGTTAATGAATGCGTCTGGATTAGTTTAAACGAAGGCAATTTTTGTAACCGAAACTCTCCAAGACTTTTGGCGGGTACACTGTGGCCTAAGACTTGAGAAAACCTTACGAATGCATTTAAGTCTCTCGTGTCGATTAATCCCGTAAACCCACGCCTTCGACGTCAGATTATCAGAGATAGCGTCGCGAGCACAACGCGGTCCTGCGTGCTTTCATTTCTAAATCATGGGCTGAAATTCATGGGAAAACAGAGGGCTCACCGCGTGAACGCAGTCATTGAGCGTTTCCTAAAACCTGTTACACCTGTGTCACAGAGCTCGTCACGGAGCACGCAATCAGAGACGAGCCAAACTCGTCGGTGAAGTTATCGGTGACGTGTTTTATGGGAAGGGCAATTTTGTAAGTCCGGTTGCTATCAGGATGACCCCACAATAAAGTCAAGAGGACCGGTCGCCACTCCAATTAGCGTAAGATTAACGAATGAACGGCCATAAAACTACGAAAAGTACGACTGGATGAGTGAGCGCGCGTGCATTTTTGGGGTGATCTTTTTACACCTAACGCCTGAGTAAACCTTGCTCTGAACACTTTGGGATATGACGGCTAGCTGTGACACTGGAAGTCCAGGACTCCAGGCGCTGTGACTGGTGTTACCTGCGAGGAAGAGGACCAGCCAGGTGATCTGCAGCATGGTGGCGGCGTGGTTCGTCGCGCAGTGAGCCGCGGGCCTCCGCCGCGGCCGTGCCTGGCCTGGTAGCCTAGCGTAGCCATGGCGTAGCCAGCGTGGATAAAGGCAATCCCTCGGATTAACAATCTTCCGAATGCCCGCGCCTCACGATCACGTCACACGCCTTTTCTCGCAGTGTACTCGTTGCGTGAAAGGACAAAATGAAGCGAGAAGCTGCTTTGATGTGCAGGAATTTGCAACGCGACCGTGGGTCAAACAGTCATCAACTTTATTTTTCAAAAACTAAAAACAAATATTTTTTTTAACGGGTCGGTTTAATAAATAATGTTAGACGTTCGGAAAGTGACAGAGATTCCTGTCACTTTGTTTTGTTCGGTCGAATCCAGCCTAGCAAGCCATGCTGTCTCCCTCACTGGTAGAGCGATCCGTGGAGGTGCGGGAGAGACAGAGCGGCGAGGCCCTTTCACGCCACCGTCGAGTCTGTGGGGCCGTCGCCGCTGAAAGTGGTGCACTCCTCGTACTCGGGGTCGCAGGGTTCCTCGGTGCAGTCCTCGCAGTAGTCGTCGGTGGGTAGCGGTGCGTTGGTGGGCGGTGGCGGCGAGGGCTGCTTCTCGTACGTGTTGGACACGATCCACGCGTTGAGCTCGGGCTCGGCGAAGTTGGTGAAGATGGCGGGGTGGCCGGGGACGTTGCAGTAGTTGACGTTGTTGATGGCCACGCCCACCAGCTCGCCTCGCCAGTTCACGACGGGAGAGCCCACATCCGCCTGCGACACGTAAACGACCACTTTGGTAAAAGTCAAAAGCAGTAACGCCAGTACTCGAACCCGGGGCACTGACCTGTCCGCAGACGCTGACAAGTCCACTGCCGATGCAGCCGTTGGTGTGTCCGTAGTGGAAGCCGTACCACGACTCGCAGAGGTCCTGGTTCACGAAGGGCAGGGCGACGGCGCGCAGCTGGCGAACCTGGCCGTCCTCAAGCACCTCGTCCCTCTGCAAGCACCACGACGTCAATCAGCAAGACGTCTAGCACCACGACGTCAAGCACCACGACTAGCACCACGACGTCAAGCTCACCGTGAGGTCCCCGTAGCCCGACAGGATGAGCTTCTCGCCGGCCTTGGGGGCCGTGGCGGGCGTGGCGAGGGTGATGGGGCGCACCTCGGCGCGGAGGGTCACCTCCTCCTCCAGGTACAGCAGCATGACATTGCGCTCGTGCAGCCACTCCCGGTAGTACCAGTGCGGCTGGTAGTCCACCACCCCGTACGCCTCGCCGCCGCCCTCGCGGAGCTGGGAGCCGACGCGCACCCTCAGCGTCTTCACGTCCAGGCCGTTGCCGTCAAAGCTGGAGCAAGGGGTCTACTGTACGGTCAGGCGCACTCACACACACAAACGTACGCACGCGCTCACACACACACACACACTACTCACGTCCCGGCGCAGACGGCCGCCGTGATGACGGTCTTGTTGGTGATGAGCGCCCCGGAGCACACCATGGTGATGTTCTCGCCCATCACGGAGCCGTCGTCGTCCAGGAGGGGGAAGACGAAGTCGATGGCCACCTGGAACGGGTGCTTCTGGATGGTGGTCGCCGTGCCGCCGGATATGGCGTGGCCGAGGCCGCACCCTGGAAAACGAGAGCCGCCGTGGTCGGTAGGTATCTTTGAAAAAATCCAGTTTGGGCGTCCATATGTCGACTAACATGCATAGACCAACAAAATTACGACATGAAATTTCAACGGTCATTTGCACGTCAAAAGCAGCGCGTGGGATTCCCAGGTCCGCCCTGGAAAATCAGGCATATTTTCCAGGAGCTGCCCGGGAATCTCAGGCGCTGCTTTTGTCGTGTGATGCATCAAGCTGCGTTTTAGTAAAAAGAGACACTGTAAGTCGCTCGCGCACCTCCGAGGAGCAGGGCCAAGCAGACGACGCCGACCCCCAGCATGGTGTTCGATTTGTGGTACTCAGTCCGACCGCCAGGGCCAGACTGCAGTGCACGGCCCAGGCCATGGCCTCTGACGCCTCGTCGCGGACCTCGGTGGATTGGATAAGGGAGTCTCAAAGGATTAGAAATTTATGGAAGAGGGGCAATTAGTTAATAGCCCTCTCGCTGCGTGGCGCGGCCCACTCTACGCAACGTCACACAGTTTGAAAAGTGAATCGTATTTCCTTATAGCAAGCTGTGTTTTGCTGGAATAAAGACTCAAAATCCACCCCACCCACCCCCCTAAAAATAATATCCCAATTCCAAGCGCAGAGATGGTAAGTGTGCTAAGAAAATAGACAGCAGTGTACACTCAGCTTTTGTCACGTTAGGATCCTGACATCCAGGTCCTTTAAAATTTTCCAAGATGAGGAGAAATTGTGGAGAAATAACACCGACCAAAGTCGTCAGACGGATGCCCGCGCTCTAGGGCCGCGGCGTGCACGCCCGCCTGCGAGGTAGGCAGCCCAACGGGCATATCGAGTGTGGCTGGCTGGCTGCTCACTGGGCGTAGATGGTCCGAACAGAAAATCACCACTCTCAAAATAAAGGCTAATTTAATGTTTTCGGGTTTTTGTACAGTGATGAAGGTGTCGTGGCTACTTGATGTGCTCCATGACCCACTGGTTGAGGTTGGGGTGGGCCAGGTTGGAGAAGCTGGTGGGCAGCCCCGGCACACCGCAGGTTTTCCTCTGCTGTATGGCGAGCCCCACCAGGCGGCCCCGCCAGTTGACGATGGGTGAACCGACGTCCCTCTGGAAAGGAAAGAAAGTAAAGACAATCACGAAACGCCGTCGCGATTTCGTTCGCGTTGAACTGTGGACCTTACAGTGCCGCACATGTCGCTCGTGAGTCCGCCGGCGCACGCGCGGTTGTTGACGACGGGGGGCGTGAAGTAGTACAGCTCGTCGCAGAGGTCCTGGTTGAAGAAGGCGAGCGTGGCGGCCTGAACCTGGCGCTGTTCGCCTTCGGGCAGCACCTCGTCTTGCTGTAGGCACACGCGTTTCCATCAGCAGGGTATACACGCACTGGGTACATATTTGGAGCTGGCGACGCACAGTGGGCCAGAAGACCGGTGGAGGCGGCCAAAACTCTCGACGCGTTTTGAGCTCCAGAGTCGCTAAATGGGACTCGAACCGAACGTGTGACCCCACCAATGGATTCCTCGTTCGGAGAGCAATCCATTGCTGGGGTCACACGTTCGGTTCGAGGCCCATTTAGCGACGCTGGAGCTCAAAACGCGCCTAGAGTTTTGGCCGCCCCCACCGGTCTTCTGGCCCACTGTGCGACGATGACCCACATAGAGGTCCCCGTAGCCGGCCAAGACCAGCTTCTCCCCCACGGCGATGCCGTCCGAAGGCGCGGCCAGCGCCACCGGCTGCACCTCGGCGCGGAAGGGAACCTCGTCCTTGAGGTAGAGCAGCAGGGCGTCGTGGTTGCCCCAGTACACGTTGTAGTCCGGGTGCTGCTCGTAGTCCGCCACTTCGAAGGCCTCGCCGCCACCGTCGCGGACCTGCGACCCCACGCGCACCGTCAGCATCCGCGAGTAGAAGTCCCTGCGGGGAAGTGAACGTGGTCCAGTGACGCGAACGGTCTTCATTTTTCAACTTGAAAACGCCCAGGACTGATCGAAGCGAGCGGCGCGGCGAGCGCCTGCCCGGCGCCACGCAAATTGGAACGTGGTTTGGAGGAAAAATTCTCGCCGGCCTTCAGGCGACGGTGCGACAAACAGAAGTCACAAGAGCAGTAATTAAGGGTTCTCACGTGGCGAAGAAGCAGCTGGCCGCGGTGATGACGGTCTTGGGGCTGAGCAGCGCCCCGCCGCACACCATGTCCCCCTGGAAGTCGATGGCCACCAGGTGCGGGTGGAGCTCAATGGTGGTCTGCTGGCCGCCGATTACGGCACCGCCGGGCCGGCATGCTGCAACGTGGCGTTCACAGTGTATGCACCGACGGGCAGCTCAGCGAGCGTGCTCGCCGAGCACTCAATCCACTCGCTAGTTACCGCCACGTGTGCACGTGTGTCCGAGTGGCGTGTGCCACAGTGGGCCAGAGGACCGGCGGGGGCGGCCAAAACTCAAGAAACGTTTTGAGCTCCAGAGTCGCTAAATGGGACTCGAACCGAGCGTGTGACCACACTAATGGATTGCTCTCCGAACGAGGAATCCATTGGTGGGGTCACACGTTCGGTTCGAGGCCCATTTAGCGACTCTGGAGCTCAAAACGCGTCGAGAGTTTTGGCCGCCTCCGCCGGTCCTCTGGCCCACTGTGTGTGCCTTACCCGACAGGAGCAGCGGTAGCAGCGCGGGCAAGGCTGGGCGCCACATGGTGTGGTGCACTGTGTGCGGTGCGGCCTCGGGTCCCTCGGGTGCGGCGGCCAGGACTGTCCGGGACGCGGGCCGAGCACCACTGAGGTGCGGCGCGGCGCGCGGACAAGATAAAGAGAATCAATCCTGGCGGGATTTACAATCAGAATCGACGCCAGAATGGAATGGCGAGATAAAAAGACCGGGAGCGGTACGAGGAAGTGGCGGGTAGCTGGAACGCCGATGGCGTAGGCGGAGCGCTTTGACGACATCCGCCAAAGGCCACAGTGGGCCAGAGGACCGGTGGAGGCGGCCGAAACTCTAGACGCGTTTTGAGTTCCAGAGTCGCTAAACAGGACTCGAACCGAACGTGTGACCCCACCAATGGATTCCTCGTTCGGAGAGCAATCCATTGGTAGGGTCACACGTTCGGTTCGAATCCCAATTCGCGACTCTGGAACTCAAAGCGCGTCTAGAATTTTGGCCGCCTACGACGGTCTTCTGGCCCTTTGTGAGGCGTGTCTTTGATACTGAAGATACTCCACCACTTTAATTGCGGAGCCAGTCTGCCGGCAATACTCCGCCGGTTCATTTCTTTGTTCAGGTTCACTATGAGCGCCGATAAGGTTCCCACGCAAGACGCCCCTAGACGCACCAATGAGTGCTCGCTGGATCAGCGTCTGGGGTGTCTGGCCAGTCCGGCCGCCCGTGCTGTTTTGGAATCACCGCGGCGTCTCGGACGCTCTGAATCAGCGGCGGTGGCAATACGCCGCGCGCCAGTTTGTCCACACTGCAGTGCCTCGCAGTTGAGTCTGGCGGTCTAGCGACCGCGGAGCAGCGGCAGGGCAGGCCGCCGCCACCGCCACACTGGCGACGACGACGCGGCGCCACTCCACCTTGACCGTCGGACCAACCCCTCTGTGTCCGGCTGGCAGGCAGACTGGGAGGGAAGGGGAGGGGGGAGGACACGGTCTCGCCCGGCCTGGGCGAGCCTGGGCCAGGCCGATGCCGAACACTGCTTCGTGCTCTGTCTCTCTCGCACCCGAGGGGACCACCCCATGAGTGCGAGAGGGACAGAACGACCGTTCGGAATCAGTCTATACTGGGCTAGCCGTCGGACGCTCCCCTCCCCTTAGCGTTGTCTCTGTCGCTCGCCTCACCGAGTCGGCTTCCAGAGAGGGAGCGAGAGAGAGAGAGAGACCCCGCACGCCGCCGCCGCGACGCCGATTCGCTATTCTCTGTGAGGCCCGGCAGGCCCGGCCCGGCCGGCGCTCTATGGACTGCTGTGTTTCCATAGCCACACGGACACACTCACACACACAGGCATTTCGGCGCGGGCCTCATTTCCGAACGAGGCTCGCGGCGGACCGGCAGCGGGACCGGCAGACGTTTCGCGGCGCCCCGTTCAAACCGGCGGGGTTGGCTAAGGCAGCGGCAAAGCCTCGCCGAACCGAAGGCAACCGAAGGCACGCAGAGCCACGGCAGAGCTTGAGCGGAGCTTGGACGGAGCACGGCCGGGACCTCCGGGACAGAAGCTGCCAGGCACGTTGCACGCGTCACGGGTTGCACGCACTCGCGAGGCGCCGTCCGGACCGCACGCGCCGGTAACGCTCGGTGAGTACCAACGCACAGTGAACCAGGAGACCGGTGGAGCACAGTGGGCCAGAAAACCAGTGGAGGCGGCTAAAACTCTAAACGCGTTTTGAGCTCGTGTGTGTCTAGAGTTTTGACCGCCTCCACCGGTCTTCTGGCTCACTGTGCAACGGCCAGGCTGTCTCCCGTCTCCATCTCCCTGCAGACTGATTCCAAGTCGTTTTCGACGGTCTGTCTCCCTCGCACCTGTACGGGACGCCTCATGTGTGCCGCCCTGTCAGTGAGTGCGACAGAGAAAGAGTACGCCGTTGGATGGTGTGTTTCGCCGGTTATGTAATTTTAAAATATGGAAGGTACGGCTTGGAGAAATGACGACACCAGGGATTTCTCCTTCCACCCACTCCCGTGTGATTGATTGGTACACTGTACTGTACAGTGTGTTTCCCAAACTTCAGTAACATTGAAAAACCCGGAAAAAACCCTTGTCTTTGGTCTGCCAGGGCTAGCCCTGTTTAATTCGTCCTTCCCGTACAAATGAATTGATCGAAAGAATTCCGTATTTCGAGGGCATTATAGCAGACAATTTGTTGCGAAGTTGGGTGTTTTGAGAGAGACCCGACGTCGTGCCCGGGGATCACGCCTCGTTTTTTGAAGGCGGGTCCTCCTGGGCTCGCCGGGGGAAGTGCGTGGCAGAGACCGGTCAGGCCACGGGGTCAGGTTTTGGATGGAAAGCGAACGGATAGAATCGGTTGATACAGCCTTTCCCGGCCAGGATAGAGCACGAACCGACTCGACCCGGTACCGGGCAGCTCGGTTCGGTTCGGTTCGGGTTGTTCGGGTCTTATCCTCAGAGGACGGACGGTCGCCGACCGGGCAGTCGAGTCAATGCAGCTAAAACACGGTTCGGAAACTGCCAGAGTGTCGCGCGGGTCGCGCGGCAGCCTCTCTGGTCCACAGTGTCGACGACGCGCGCGCGGACCGGATCCCTTGGTTGGTAACCGGTTTGGAAAAAACACTGAACCGACACTCAACCGGTCCTTTCGAAGGGTAACCGACCTGAATAATAACGCACGTCTATGCACGGCCGCAGGTTAGTGTGTGTGTGTGTGTGTGTGTGTGTGTGTGTGTGTGTGTGTGTGTGTGTGTGTGTGTGTGTGTGTGTGTATCCGTTTCTGACGTGCGAGCTGTATTGAGGGTGATTGAGTGAGACTGAGTTGAAGGAGAGTGTGAAAGCAGACAGCCATTAGCCATTGGTCACAGCGCCCGCCTCGTGTGGGCGTGACGACGGCGATTGTCACTTGTCAAAATTGGTGGTGTTTCAGTGACAGGGCATCTCGCCGGACACGATCTTGGACGCGGCGCCCGGATTGGCCCCGGCACGCCAGCGGCGCCACCAACGACGCCACCATGGCGGCGGCACGCAAGCACCACGACACGCGTGGAGTCGACCATGGCGAAACAATCGTGAGTATCAGGCAAACGAGTATGAATGGCTCGAGGCGGGTGGCATGCCAGTGGCCTGGTGCCTCGCATCCTTGAGCCTGGCCCTGGCGTGGCAGCCTTGGGCGCTTGGAGCCACAACCGCTTTACTATGCGGACTTAACCCGCGGCCTAAACGGCGCCAGTTAAGTGAATTGTGCAGAAGAAATGACGAGGAGGATGGGACACTGCGAGTGCTGTGCCGGCCCACCACTGGGTGGCCCGCGACCCCTAATATCGGAAAGTCGGTGACACTTCCTCCGGGCTGGAGTGGGGCGGGGCGGCGAGTGTAGGTGCTGTCCCGGCACACCCGACTCCCCGATGCCATGGCACAGTGGGCCAGAAGGCCGTCGCAGGCGGCCAAAATTCTAGACGCGTTTTGAGTTCCAGAGTCGCTAAATAGGATTCGAACCAAACGAGTGACCCCATCAATGGATTGCTCTCCGAACGAGGAATCCATTGGTGGGGTCACACGTTTGGTTTGAGTCCTGCTTAGCGCCTCGAGCTCAAAAGGCGTCTAGAGTTTTTGGCCGCCTCCACCGGCCCACTGTGCCGCCGGCGCCGGGCCGTCCTGGTCCTACCCCGTGCCGGTGCCGGGCTTGGCGGGCACGGGTCGCGTGAAACCTGGACCCTCGCACGACATCACAGGCAGCCCTCCCCCGCAAACCGCAGCCCGCAGCCGGCCGGCCTTGGCCTTGCCCTTGCCGCCATCATCAGTACTTTACAGTAATTCGAAGCGGCTGCACTGCCAATGCCGGCCCTGTCCGCACTGCAGGCCGGCCGGTCGCTGGAGCGTGCGGTCCCAGCAGGCACACTCGCTCTGTCTCCCTCGCACCCATGGGGCGTCCCGTGGGGGTGCGAGAGAGACAGAGCGACGAGGGCCCCGCCGTGCCGTCTGGTCCGGTTGAAATAGCCCTATCACGTGCGAGTCGGGAAAAGCATCGCCGAAGTCAGCCAGAGGCGCGGCACGGCCACGGCCACGGGATGCCAAAGCGATCAATGTCAACGAGTTCAATTTGTCGCGGCGCCGCGGCTTAATTTGTCTCCATTTCGCCTCGTGCTGCAAGCCCGCCGCGGTGCCACGCGGTGCCCCGACGTCGACGTCACTGACGGCGGCGCCGCGCGCCCCTCGCCGCCCGCGCCACTCTCGCGCGCGCTGGGCTGCCTACCTCGCAGGTGCTCCCTGCCTGCCCACTCGGGGGCGGGGACGATGACTTAGGAAGAAGAGGGGGATGGGGTTGCAAAAGAGAAGGGTCCGGGAGGTGGGGGGAGGGGGTCAGAGCAACCGAGATGCATGCTGGGGGACCGGGCAACGGGCTCGGTCACAACTGGAGGGAAAAGGGGGGGGGGCAATCACTGCTCCCCAACCATTCTACCTTCTTGGCTTGAAATGCAAGGTCTTATCGTAGCGAATCACCCAAACAAAACAACAACTCCAACGAAATCAATCAAAAAGGTTCCTGAGTTTTTTTTCCCTTTTCGAAAATCTTGTTTTTGACCCCGTTGGGCTGAGCTGAGAGTGGATACCAACCGGTTATCTGACGCGACAACGACCGGGTACTTTCGGGCTCCGGCCGCCAGGCTCCGCGAGAACCGGATAGTACCGAGTAGAGACCTAGAGTCTCTAGGTCTCTACTGTTCCCTTCCCGCTCCCCTCTGGGCCGGCCCAGACAAAATGGCCGCCAGCGCGCGACGGCGCCCGCGCTTCTCCGTCAGTCTCTAGGTCTCTAGTACCGAGTTCTCTGCGATAACCGCCTCTCGGAGATGAAAGATGGGTGGTCCTTATCAGCCAGGCGCCGGGACTCCCAGTGGGACTCCCCGGGAGTGAGCCTGGACTTTCTTCAGTACCCCAGGAAGCAGGCGGCTGATCACCGAAGCCCCACACCGCACAGGCAAGTGGTTTCGCTGAAGGGCGACTGCGCGTGCCCGCCCCGCACTCGGCCGCCAATTGGAAACGATTCGATTAGAGAATTAGGTTTTGAAAGCGTGTCAGCTGATCATCATTATGTCCCGTTTCCGTGGCGAGAGATTGATTAGGTTCCGCGAGCACGCGCTCATTGAAATCAAATCAATGACTGAGACTAGCAGTCCTCTACGCTTTAAACATACGCTAAACACTCAACTGAATTCGGGGCGGTCTGATTTTCATGTTTTTGAGAGTGCACCTGCATCGTCCTCCCCGCATCGCAGGACTTGAAGAAATTCCGAGTGCCGAGCCTCGCTTTCTATACTTCCGCTTCTGCGCAGTTTTTCGATTCCGTTTGCTCGGTGTCACGTTATGCCCCGCTCGCCGCGAGCGCGCGCGAGCGTCAACGCAAATATATGCGCGGTGCGCGCAACATGGTGTATTCTTATCGCGCGAAGTCGTCGCCCTCGCGGAGTCAGGCTTCCGACCAGCGCGTTTGCCTGCCGTCCAGGGAGCGAGGGAATGCCCGATCACTGACCAGCCCCCCAGCCTGCCAGCCACCGATCTGCCCTACCGTCATCGCTTCTTGTTGTTCGGCGGCTCCCTTCGCCTCCACGATACGCCTCTGTCCTTTCTCCACGAAACTTGTCACGCTGTTTTCTATCGTACTCGTCACCACTGTCCGCCATTGTGGCCTCTCACTCTTCGCTGACGCCATCACTGACTGCTAATCATCCTTTGTTTTTGTGCCGTGAAGTTGCCCCTGTTGCCGCTGTCGGACAAACCCATGGTGGTCAGCACGGTCGGAGACATCTCCCGAGCCAAAGATGCGGCCGTCGCGCAGTCCACCGTCCCCGCCTTCGACGGCCTGCCCTGGGGCCGCTGGCAGGCCCGGACCACGCTCCTGGCCGGGCTGTGCAAGGTGAGGGGCGTTTCCGAGAAGTATTCATTCCTCAGAGAAAATGACGAACTTGCATCGGTATGATCTAGGTGACGACGGCGTGGCACATGGCCATGGTGCTGTACGCGTCCGCGCCCTCGCCGTTCGGAGAGTTCCGGTGCCCGCGGCGAGACGCGGGCCTCAACCACAGCGCCCGCCACAACCAGAGCGTCGACGGCCTGGTCGTCGCCGACGACGACCCTTACTGGGGCTCGGGCTTCCCCACCGCGGCCAACTTCTGGGACTGGACGTGGGAGCCGTGGGTGGCCTGCGACGGGGACTCTGCTGGTGACGAAAACGAAAACACTCAAGTGACGGTTTCTTCTGGTTTGTCGCCCTGACCCCTGACCCTTGACACCCTGGCTTTCTCTTCCCTTGGCAGAAGCCAACGCGTCCAACGCCACCGAGTGCACCAACTGGCTCGACCTGCAGACCGTGAACCAAGTGAGTGCTGGTTGACCGCCACTGTCGCAGTTTCCCAGGGTTGAATCACTCAGCGCTGACGTAAATCCCACACAATACCAAATCCTGTATAAATTTAGTTATTTTCGTTCTTTTAAAATTTGTGAGTACACTGAGTACAGGCTAATGTGTACACATGAGTACACTAGTGATTCATCCCTCGGCAGTTTCACGGTCGGCCTCGCCGCGTTGCGTTGGGTTCCCACCTCCGCACCCCGGTTGGCGTTCTCTGACGGGTGGCCAGCCGCTGGCGTGGCGGCCGACGGCCACGTCGTGTTGCAGTGGTCCGGGGCGTGCCACCGCCAGTTCGTGGGCGGGTCCTCGCAGTTCTTCTACCTGGTGGGCATCGCGACGGGCGGCGCCATCTGCATGACCCTCCTGCGCCACCTGAGTCCACGCCGCGTGCTGCTGGCGGCGCTCCCCTGCGAGGCCGTGCTCGCCTTCGTCCTGTCCGGCGTCCAGGTCACTGCTCCACCCGTGGCGGTTGATTAACGAAGACCCCGCGAGGCTCGACTTGACGTGCCGCTTCTTGTTGCAGGTGTTCTGGGCACACGCTCTGGTCCGCTTCTTCCTCGCCATAGCCAGCTCGCACCTGTTCACGGCGGCCGCCGCGTTGAGTAAGAGCCGCTCCCCACTGGACACCATAAAATAAACAAATCTGGGTGCTGTGGGCCCACTCTGAAATCTGTACCGGTGTTCTGCAGGTGCCGACGTCTGCATGCCGCGGGCCAAACTGCTCACCCTGAGCTTGTTTGAAATCTGGTGGTCCCTCGGCATCATCTCCATCTCCGTGTTCGGCAACTTCGCCCTCAACTGGACGTGCCTGCAGGTGGGCTCCAGACTCCAGTGCAGGCGCTGCGCCCCCGCGCGCTGGCAGCCCGGGCAGCCAAGGGCGGCCGTCAGCCTGCGGGGCAGGCCGCCGTCCGCGGCCCCGAGCGCGACGGGCGGGCCTACCCCGCGGTTCGCAGGCGCTTCCACTGCTTTGGCTCTCTTCGCACTCCAGGGGCGTCCCGGCGCACAGTGTGCTAGAGGACCGGTGGAGGCGGTCAAAAGCTCAGACGTGTTTTGAGCTCCAGAGTCACTAAATGGGACTCGAACCGAACGAGTGACCCCACCAATGGATTGCTCTCCGAACGAGGAATCCGCTGGTGGGGTCACACGCTCGATTCGAGTCCTGTTTAGCGACTCTGGAGCTCAAACCGCGTCTAGAGTTTTGGCCGGCGTCGCCGACTGCGGGGCGTCCCGTCCCGTCGGGGTGCGAGAGAGACAGCTCCGTCTGCTTGTGCGCAGGCCATCGTGTCCATGCCGTCCTTCGCGCTGGTGCTGCCGTGCGCGCTGCTGCTGCCCGAGTCCCCCCGCTGGCTGGTGTCGCGCGGCCGCCTGGAGGAGGCCGTCACGGAGTGGCAGCGCGGCGCCGCCGCCAACAAGCAGGACAGCCTGCTGCCGCACCGCGCCGCCCTGCTGCAGCGCCTCGCCCAGCAGTCCACCGCCATGCACTCGCAACGGAAGTAAGTCCCCACTGTCCTCCGGCTGAGAAGCCGCTCGCCGCGCTGTCTCCGTCGCAACCCTTGACAGAGACGGTCACTGACGGGTTCCTCTGCCGCAGGACGGAGCGGAGCGCGTGGCTGCGGCCCGCCGACGGCCACCGATGCCGCCACGTGGCCAAGCTGGTGGCGGCGCACATCGCCTTCGGCTGCATCACCAACACGTTCTTTGGCAGCATCCTCAACGTGCGCAACTGGGGCACGCCCGGCATGCTGGGGCTGTCCGTCGGGGAGGCGACGGCGGGTAGGTTCCGGTTTTGGCGGGCTGCCGGGGCCGGAAGACCGGCGGAGGCGGCCAAAGTCCCGGACGAGGTTTTGAGCTCCAGAGTCGCCAAACAGGACTCGAACCGAACGTGTGACCCCACCAATCGATTACTCTTCGCGCGAGGAATCCATTGGTGGGGTCACACGCTCGGTTCGAGTCCTGTTTGGCGACTCTGTAGCTCGAAACGCGTCTAGAATGCCGCCGGCAGTCTTCTGGCCGCTCCTGGCCCACTGTGCCTCGGCCTGCCCAACCCTTGCCCCAACCCTTGGCCCAACCTTGCGACCCCTCTCCCCGCAGGTGTGAGTGGAATAGTGGGCCTCGTGATCGGCACGCTGGTGTCGACGCGGACGTCGCGGCCGCTGCTGTGGCTGGGCGTGCTGCTGCTGGCCGGCGGCATCACGGGCCAGTTCGCGCACCTCGTGCGGCGCACGGAGGACGGTGAGTACATCGGACGCCCCGTTCGACACGGCCGAGCCTCTGCAGCAGCGCCGTTAAACCCGAGATGACGCCGTGCTGCAGGCATCCCGTACGGCGCCAAGGTGACGCTGTTCGCCCTCGCGGAGCGCGTGGCCGTGGCCGCCGCCGTGCCCACCCTCAACAACTGCGTGCCGCCGGTGGTGGCGGCGCCGCAGCGGCCGTCCCTCGTCTTCTCCTGCGTGCTGTTCGGCAGGGTCTGCCTGTTCGCCGCGCCCTTCGTCGGCAACCTGGTAATGGCGCTGTCTCGCTCGCACTCATGGGGGGTCCCATGGGACCCGTACGTGTGCGAGAGAGACAGAGCAGTGCACAGTGGGCCAGAAGACCGACGCCTGAGGCCGGCATTCTAGACGCGTTTTGATCTACAGAGTCGCTAAACAGGACTCGAACCGAGCGTGTGACCCCACCAATGGAGTCCTCACGCGGAGAGCAATCCATTGGTGGGGTCACACGCGCGTTTCGAGTCCCACTTAGCGACTTTGGAGCTCTAATTTTGGCCGCGTCCGGTCTTCTGGCCCACTGTGCAGTGCTCGCGACTTACACTGAGTGGCACGGCGCACACGAGACTCACGCCATGCCGGAATGCTTGCAGGTGGTCTTCGGCGAGGCCTTCCCGCTGACGGCCTTCGGGCTGCAGCTCATCACGGCCGGCCTGTGCTCGCTGGCCCTGGCAGTGCTCGCCGTCACCAAGACCCCCACGCACAAGGACGGCGCACTCAAGACTTGACCAGAACCGCACTCAACGAGAATTTAAAAATGCGCATCTGTGTCGTCAACAAATGAATGTTCCAGCGGCCAATGTTGTGGCGATCTAATGGCGATATTTTTGGAGAAAATGTGCCAATGCGTTGTGTTTGTGACGGGTCGGCAAACCACGATGAAAGTGCCTCACCATCGGGGCAAACATTGATCAAGGCGTTGTGCTGTTTCGATATTTTTAACTGAGTGTGTTTAATATTGAAATATTGTCTGTGATAATGAACTTTTTGCTTGTAACAAAAGTCGCACGCGTGCGTTTCTCGCTTTGCACTTTTCGTTATGAACTATTAATAAATAGATCAATAAATGAATTGACTCTGCGTCACTTTCCCCCTGTAAGTAGGCAAATAGCATGAGCTGACCCCCCTCCTTTTCAAAATTTCTGCGCACGCCACTGGGTTTTCGAAACCTACCAGAGAGCGTTGGGTTTGAACTTGTGGTGTGCTTCGTTCGTTTGAGGTTGCAGGCTTGGCTCATAATAAAAAGGGAGACCCAATTTCAATTCTCCTCAAAGAACTCAGACATTGACTTTTACGTGGAAAATTCACTCTTGACAAGCACAATGCCGTCAAACGAAGCACGGCCCACGTCATGCTATACGCAACCCAGTTCAAACTTGCCGCGCTCAAAAGTTCCAGCGGTGGCCACCGCGCTGCCATCGCTTCGAGACTTCGAGAGAAGAAGAAGGAGAAGAAGGTTGGCATTTGGCATCATCAAACTTCACTTCGGCCTCTATCAGCCGAAATTCCGGCAATTCTTACCCTTCTCCACAGGTAATACAAGTCACAAACATTTCTGAATTATGTCACATCCTTGCACACTTAATCTGTGCCTATATGTCTTTGGAAAAACTATTTTCAACTTTAATCAGAGGCGAAAGTAGGCCGCTGTCTGCCGCATAACCTAAAAATAAATTATATGCTCTTGCCTTTTACTCATATATTTACTCATTCGTTTATCAAAATTAAGTGTTATTCAGTTCTTTCCAATGATGATTTCTATAACCACCTGATAACCTACCGTTGCAGTAAACTAAAGACCTACTAAGTTGGACGCTTAAAATTACATCATTCACCTTGGTTCTTCTTCATCATTTAGTTATGTTTATTAGTTTTCTTTAGAGCGCCCTACTGTATTATCATTTCAATGTCCCAGAAATATCACCAACTGTCTATTGTACTGATGTTATACCTTACATTTAAATGATGCAATGAACTTGTTTCAATCTCGTCACCACTCAATAAGTCTCTCTGGCTTTCAGCTTTACTTGGTAACAGTGAGAGTCCACTATGGCGGACAGTGATGATGAGTACGATAGAAAACGCCGTGACAAGTTTCGTGGAGAAAGGACGGAGTCCTATCGTGGAGGTGAAGGGAGCCGCCGAACAACAAGCAGCGATGACAGGAGACGAGATGACTGGATGACTGACAGGTATGTTATCTGCTTTAAAAATTAATTCCTTTTTTTTTTCAATTGTACTGTAGCTCTTTCCTTCTCCTCTCTTATTCCATTCCCCTTGTTGAAACCCTGGTCCTGATTACATCTTTCAGAGAAGCGCCTCTCCCTTGTCCACCTTGTCCCCCCAAGACCTGGCAACCCCATCCTTTTTACCCCCCTTTCAGGTACAGCTCAAGTTTTGGGCAGGTTCTCATTAGTGAAAAAGAATTATTACTATTATCATTTTCCAGGGATTCTCGGAGTGGACGTAACTGGCAACGCCAGGATTACAGAGACTACAGAAGTGGAAGTGGCCGAGAAAGATACAGTCCACCACGTCAACATGACATCTCTCCTCCAATGAAAAGAATGCGTCCGGAATGGTTTGTATAAGTATAACTCAGGTGCATTTGCATGTGGTTAAATTTAAGTTGATGCTTTAATGAGAGTGATCTTGAATTGCACTATTGACATGTTGCACAGCACATTTGGAAATGTAAAATGTTGCTTTATATATTTGCTCCTTTGCTGCTGATCTGTTCTCAGTTTCTTTTCATAAGAATTAATGTCTATGCTTACATGCTGTGGAACTGATGATAAAGAAGTTTTGCTTTTAATTTGCTTATTTATCATTGTCAAAGTTCCTAACACAAGTGTAATCATCCATTTGAATGTGATTTTTACAAGACCCTGTAATTACATTGCATTCACCATCAATTGAAATCTTCTGAACGATTACTAAAAAATAATATGCATTCATTTTTGCTAATCCAATTTTTGCACAGACTTGTGTGACAAATCTTGTCTGCTTTTTTCTTGGACTTCATGTAAGGTGTGAGTGTGAAGTGAAGTGAAGTCTTGTGGTTTTTTGTGAACAGGCGAGGCGGATATGGTGGGGCTCATGAAGGATATGGTGGCGGCAATTACGGTTCTTCGTGGCAACAGGGCTATAATAATGCACATAGTCCTTATGGCAGTGGTGGACCTGAAAGGTGAGATTTGACATCTGTGACCACAGCTGGAGGGCATAACCTGCAGATTGTTCATGATTTTATCTTAAATTTTTAGCAGGCTTACTCCTGTGTCATTAGTATTTTTATTTTAAAAGTTCCTTGGATGAAGTAGTTATCTCCAAACTTGATAACTTAATTTAATTATTTTGCCCTATTTGGTTTGGTTCACAGTAGTCAAATTGTCAAAAGAAGTGCTGGGAGAGTGCTATCCCACTGTGTGATTTTACTGCTTATGATGTGCAAAAAAGTTTTTGGATTTGGGGAATCACATTGTGTTTATGTGGGTCATCCTCAACAGCCATTTGTCTCTGTGGATGTTCTTTCAACAAACTCAAAAGGGTCTTGTGCTATTCTGATTACTTCACCAGCACTTTGTCACTCACTGATGGTGCAAAGCCTTCATTTCCCTCTTTTCTTTGGCTACATTGTCACATATCTATGTATTGTCATTACATGATTGACCACGTGTAAGCCTTCATTGTATAAAAAGTTTCAGACCCAAAGCTATTGTACCCAAGTTTGTGTCTTTTAAAGAAGCATGCCTTCAAATTAATGTGACATAGTTTTGATTGTGTTCTATTTGTGAGTTAATGTGGCACTTCTGTAATGCAGGGACTCTCAACAGTTGGAAACCCAGCCACCTATGCAGTCTTTCAAGCAATTCCTTCAGACCCAGGATGACAACATTTCTGACGAGGAAGCTATCCGGAAGTACAATGAATACAAGCTGGATTTCAAACGACTGCAGTTGAATGAATTCTTTGTTGCTCACAAAGATGAGGAATGGTTGGTATTCACTGTCATTTTTTTACGGTACTTTTGTCCTAAGTAAGAAGTTCTAACAATTTCTTTGGCCCAGTTAGCTAACCCATTACTTTCATAGAATTGGGGGGTTAAAGAGGAACTGTCATTATCACAGTGTACCTTTTTCCATTAACAACATAAAGAAGTGTGCGTTTGTTCGTTTTCTGCAGCTTTATTTCACTTGTTGTGGAGCTAGCCAACCATGAGCATTTGTTGCAAAAACTTGAACTCAAGTTTCATTTGCTCTTTTAAAACATGCTGCAGCTCAATTCAATAATTTATTTCCTTCAAATGATGATCTTTTTCCAAATATGATCTTTTTCAAACTATCCTTAAACAACAGGAAAAAGTCATGTCTTAAGTTGAGCACTGTCTAAAGTGGCCTGTTATTTTGTGAACATTAACAGTTTGCCTTTGAAATGTCACGTCATTTCATGTCATGTCACGTCACTGTACTCAATTTGGTGGTACATTTGTCAATCATAAAAGAGTTCTGTTAACCATGTAAATTTTTTCTACAGCACATTCAGTTTTACTCAGAGTCGAGCTCAAGCCATGAGCCATGTTTGTTTATTTGTATTTGACATCTCGACACAATGTGTTTCATGAATGAAATGTGTTGAATTACACACTGGTTTTATGGTGCTTCATCTTCGTGCGAATCATCAAGAGGACTGTCAGTTCGTTGTTTCCCCACATTTGTTAGATTCTGGAGACATCTCTCTTATGGATTCTCCCCGTAGGTTAGATAGATGCCATTAGCGCACAATGCTATGGCAAGTATCACGCAGATGCGTGTTAGATAGGTCCTCCTGCGTATAAACTGTGTAAATATCTTCAACTTGGCTGACAAAGGTGAGAACAGATCCTCGCATTCCCACTTGAACCTCTAAGTGTGGTCATGGTACTATATGACAATGAAGATAGATGCCCTTCCTTTCTTACAAATGATTTTTGTTTTCCTTTGGTCATGTTAATGAGTAAAACTCTCAAATTCTAGCATATCATCTTATATACCTGTTGAAATCATTTGTAGAAGCACGCTTATTCAGGTTAAAGGCGGTGTTTTGTTTATGTTCCTTCTGTTAAGGTTCATTTTGGCAAAGCGAGGTATTTGAACGAAAGCATGAATGGTTTTAAACTGGCTGTCGTAGAGGAAAACTGAATTCTCTGTTAACCATACAGCATACTGCCAATTATTTTTCAGTGTTCAGTACAATTACTGATTCTGTGATCAAGACTCAATCTGCTTGTCCTACATTTGTTGCAGTTTCAGTTTCTAATTATGTGTTATGTTTCTTCTTTTGCTTTTTTTCACCAACAGGTTTAAGATTAAATACCATCCAGAAGAAGCAATTAAGAGGAAGGAAGAGCAAATGGCTGCTATGAAGGTTTGATTTATTTTTTATCTTAATTTTTTATCATTGTTTGTACTAATAGAACTTTAGAATAATATCTTAAAATTTGGTTGGTCTTTTCAGAATAGAGTTGATGTGTACATGGAGTTTCTTGAAAGTGGACGACTTGACAAACTCTCTGTGGACAACGACCAATCAGAGGCACTCATTACACTTCTTGATGCTGTTGTTATCCGTTTGGAAGGTGGCACTGACTTTGATTTGCAAGTTTTGGAAGAACCAAGAAGTTCCTCAAGTGAGTGGAAACCTGTAACAATATTGTGATATTTCTTGAAACCTCTTGTCAGTTAAGAAACATCGCTGTTTTTCCAGGTTTAAGTTCAAGGGTTAAGGAAGTAACTGAAACTGTAGATATAACTGAGTAAGTTTTTTTTCTTGTTATGTCAATGAGTAGTCAAGTTTTCTTATATACTTTTAACAATAGTTATTTCATAATTTGTTTTAAATTTTTGAAGGGACAAGAAAAATGAAGATGGGAAAGAAAAGAAGGATATCAAGAAGACATCTGCAGAATCCGGCTCTAAAGGTAGCTCATTTAATACTTTGTCTTGGCTTATCTGCCTGTCCTATCAGATATACTATATCTTAGAACTTACAGGTAAAAAGAGGAAACGCGAATATGACTCAGGCAATGATGATGACAGTGGAAGTGAAAGCGGTGATGATGATCGATCTACTACTCCCCCAATTGAACCAAACAAAAATGGTGATTTCAATTTAAATTCTATCAACATAATCAAATTATTCTTGATTTTTCTTTTTACTCATCCATTACTTGTATTGTTGAAGGTATTGATGGTGGTGAAAATGATACTGAAAAGCCCTCCAGCCCCAAAGCAGACACAAAGGAGGAGGAAACACCATCCATGGATGAAGGAGAAAGTGACAAGAAATCTGCTGCCAAGGATGAAACTGAGAGAATGGAGGTAGAGGAGTCAGAAAGTAAAGAGGAAGCAAAGAATGAAACCAGCAACAGTAAACCAGAAAGTGATTCAAAAGAGAACAATGATCAAGAAGACAATGATGAAGCTGAAGAAAAGGTTAATAAAGAAGTTGAACCCAAAGCATCAGATGCAGAGGAAGATGCTGAAGATGACGAGGGCCGCAGTAAAAAGAGAAGAAAGAGTTCAAGTGCCAAAGATGATGACACAAAAGAACCAGATATTGAAGAAGTAGAAGCTGAGAAAGTTTTGAAACCAAGACCCCTGCATCGCACAGCTTCAATTTTCCTTCGCAATCTGGCTCCTACTATAACCAAGCAGGAAGTGGAAGCCATGTGCAAGCGCTATCCAGGATTTTTGCGAGTTGCGATCGCGGATCCCCAACCTGATCGACGTTGGTTTAGAAGAGGATGGGTCACTTTTGAGAGAAATGTTAACATCAAGGAAATATGTTGGAATTTGAACAACATCAGGCTCCGTGATTGTGAGCTGGGTGCTATTGTGAATAGGGACTTGAGCAGAAGAATAAGGACTGTGTCTGGCATCACCTCACACAAGCAAGTTGTGCGCCATGATATCAAGCTAACAGCTAAAATAGTTCACAATTTAGACGAAAAGGCTGGATTATGGACAAACGAAAGCAATCAGTCCACTGCTGCGAACAATGAAGAAGCAGGGAAAGAGAATTCGGATGAATCCAAAGAACCTGTTGAAGTTCCAAAGTCTGATAAACAAGACGCTAATCAGGTAAGTTGATGACTGTGAATCTGTCAAGTGAATTTCATTTATACACAATATCAAACTTGTACCCATGATGGTTTGGTTTGTTTCTGTTTCAGTCTTTTGGGCTGTTGTCGAAAAATCCAGTGCTGAAAAATATTACTGATTATTTAATTGAGGAGGCCTCAGCAGAGGAAGAAGAATTGTTAGGTCAGAGCACTGACCAGGAAGAGGGTCAAGTAGAAGATATTGCCACAGTGGAAAGGGATGATAATTTGATCAAGGTAGGATCTGTCTCTCTCTCTCTCTCATTGTTTGAGTGTTTGAGATTTATTCCTTTTAATTCACCTTTGTCTTTTATTCTTTTATTCAGGTACTGGACAAGCTTCTGTTGTATTTAAGAATTGTCCATTCAGTTGATTATTACAATCACTGTGAGTATCCAAACGAAGATGAGATGCCCAACCGGTGTGGAATCATGCATGCCCGAGGTACCCCTCCCTCAACAAAGGTATTGCTAAGAATAAATGTTACTTTTGTTTTTCTCACAGAGCACCTCATTATTATTATTATTAATATTATTCTTCCTTCCTTATTCAGGTCACTCCACAAGAAATAACAGATTACAGCCGAATGTTTGAACAAAAAATTGCCTCATTCTTGCAGCCCACCTCCAAAATATCAGATGAAGAGTACTCAAAACTTGGTGCCAAAGATGCTGACACGTATCCTTTTTTAACTGTTTTTTGAATCTATTCCTCCACCTCAGAAAACAACTGTTAATTTTACTAGATTTTGATTGATAGTCTGATTTTGCCTTAACATAGTTGGCCAGTGAGGTGGAAAAGTTCGTCCAAGCAAACACCCAGGAGCTGGCCAAAGATAAGTGGCTATGTCCTCTCTCTGGGAAAAAATTCAAAGGTCCTGAATTTGTTCAAAAACACATCTTCAATAAACATGCAGAGAAAGTGGAAGAAGTGAAAAAGGAGGCGAGTATCTGTGGACCCTCTTCTGCTGTGGTTTTAATATAAATCATTGGAAAGTGTGCATTTGAAAATAATAATCACATTGCTTTCCTATTCAGGTTGAATATTTCAACAACTACCTGAAAGACCCTAAGCGACCACAACTTCCAGAGCATCCTTCTAATCGACCAGATCGCAAAGGTTCTGAAGGAGGACGAGATCCATTTTCACACCCACCAGCACCATACCCGCCCCAGTAAGCATTGTTAATGCCTGTTGCCTCACTTGCAGGCTTAACTAGAATATTAAAGTTAACTGTTCTTTTCATCTAGTTATCAAATGAACTACAATGCTCCTCGCCATGGGAACTATCACTATGGTGGGGGCGGAGGAGGAGGGGGCGGCGGAGGTGGCTATGGGTCATATGGCCATGGAGGAGGAGGAGGCGGAGGTGGAGGTTACAACTCGTATTCACGCGGTAACCGTGGCGGATACAACAGAGGAAGGTTGGTGTTATCCTTATGAAGGACCTTGACTTAATGTAGCTCTTCTTTTGCAGTTCAAAAAAAATTTCCTCGTTTCTTCAGCGTCTGTCCTTCGAATATATATTTGCTTTCTTACATTCTTGCTTTTACTCATCTTGTGCCTATTCTTATGAATACTCTGAACTATGAAGGTCAAGGCCCACAAAGTGTGACACTTAAACCCTATCATGACAAGGCCAAAGATTATTTTTACTTCATTGATTATTCTAAGTGAATCAAGATTGAGAAAGTTACGAATCTCCTTATTTCCTACGTAGTACAACTTTAGAGGAGATGGAACCACAGCTTTTTTTATTTAGTCTAATTTCCTTGGCATTAGATGCTTGTGTAGTAGCATGTAGAGCGCATATAAAATGCATGGCCTTAGTCTAACTGGAGGGTTAGTGTTGACACTTTGTCCCTTTGTGTTTATCTAACAGGGGTGGTGGCAGTGATTACAGGCCTGTCATCCACTACCGAGACTTGGACGCTCCGAGGGAACCAGATGAATTTATCTAAGACTTCATGCCTCCAGTCCAGGGCACCGCTTTGTCTTTTGAATGGCCAGGGTGCCTTAATTCTCAGACACGTTTGTAAAATTTAGAAATGTTTTCTAGCTCTTTATATGGATAGATCCATTTTAATTAGTAACTTAAGCATGGAGTGTGAGTTGTTTTTTATGCTCTGTAGGCTGTATAAAGTTTTTCAAGTCTACAATTGATTTTGACAGTGAGGGGATGCTCAAATTCCTTTACAGTGTGTAAGATGCATAAAGTTTTAATAAAATAGTCAACAATAAAATTATTGTTTCATTTATTGTTTAAATCCTCTCACATCATCGAAGTTATGTCTTTGCATTGTTGTAAATAGATCACAGTAGGAGTTTATCACTTACGCATACAGGGCATATATATACAATACTGCCAAGGGCAATCACTCTCACGGGATAACAGGTGAATTTATTTGTTCACAATATTTGTGGCAATATCAGATGTTTCTAAATTAATCACAGATATATGTAGGTACTATCAGACACAATAAATTTTTACTGGACAGGTCCTGAGCACAAGCTCTGGAAGTGTTTGACATAAATGTCACAATGTTCTCCCTTAGCAAATGACGTGGTTCCTTTAAGTCGCAAGTTCCTTTGTTCAAAAAATTTGAAAACTCCAATAAACACATTGGGATCACCTGTGGCTTTAGCCGCATCAAGGAACTTGCGTGCTGACACTTGATCAACAGAGCCTACACTGTGTACAAATCTCAAAGCAGGCAAAATTTGCTGCTTGGACAGCAACACTTCAATTATTTCTTCATTAGCAGTCGACAAACGCTTCAGCATATCAAGGGCTAATTGATGTGCCGCCGGGTACAAACTTTCTAACGAAAGCAGTAGGCAAGCCAATGGTTTTGAATCAGATACAACATGGTACTGCAGTAGTTGATGAAGCTGGTAATATGCTTCATGTTGAACAAGTGAATTAATGAGTAGTTCATACAGATAATGTTGAACTGGAATGTGGTAGTCAGTAAGCGACCTTATATACTCAAGCAAAACCCACACTTCAAATTTGCCTGTACCTTCTTCAGATTCTCTTGCTCTATCAACAAATTTTGAAAATACATTTGTATACATATCAGATTGGTCAATAACAATACAAGGTTTTGGTAGAACTTGTTGAAGTTTGGATGGTGAAACACTAAGACTAGATGAGGCAGGGGTGGCCACGTGACATTGCAACTCAGATTGCAAGAAGCTGCGATAGACTTCATTCAAATGATCAAATAACTCTGCCACCACAACAAGGTGACTGCAGTTCTGCGTGGTAGGTTCCAGTACTTCTTGCAATACTTGAATAACAACAGGTTTAGAATCTGATCTCTTCATTAGAAAATCTACCAAGATACATTTATCATGTATCATGGTCAGTAGAGGTTGGAGATTCAAAGTGATTGTCCACAAACAGCCAAGCTTGGCATCAATAATTATATTGGGTTGAAATACAACCCAATTAGGCGAGTAAAGTTCACAATGAACTTGGGTTGGTTCTGTATGCACAGGGCTTGGCACTGCCGGTAATGACAATGTAAATGGTTTTATAGGCTGAAGTCCAACAACAGGTTGGTGGTATGTGACAGTGCCATCAGTTTCTCCATTCATGGCAATATCAAACATCAGAGACTTCTTTGATGCTTGATGATGTACAATAATAAGATTATCTACCACATTTATGGCAAAACGACCACTCAGGTCTACTCTCAAAACATGTGTCTTTTTGGCAGTCATCATTTTCACGAGAGTATAAACAACAACTTCAGCTCCAGGAGACCCTGCTCCTCGGGGATTATGCCTCAGGATAATGATACTTGCTTCGTTGTACAGCACAGCTAATGTGATGTCTCTCTCAAACAAACACAGCTTAGGTGGTTTAGGAACTGCAGGTATTTCAACATCAAACCGGGACAATTTGTTTATATTTCCTCCTTTGATGTGAAGAGGATACATTTGGTTACCTAATGTCCCAGACGACAAAAGAACAAGACAAGTTTGTGGACAATAGACGAACCAGTTGACAGATAGACTGAACGTCTTTTGAACCTTAAGGCATTTTTTCTCTGGAACAACTTGAAAAAGTTCTACTCCATGATCAGTCACGAAAAGAATTTCTCGCGTATTTGTCCATAAGAAACCCAAAATAATATGATTCTTGCCCTTGCAGCTTTGGGAGTATTCTACGTTGTCCATCTCGCCTGTGAGAAAGTTGATGAATTCCACGGACGACTTTGACCGCTGGATGGCGAGAACTTTCTGATCGGGCGAAAACTTGATGGAGACGACTGGCCCTTTATCTTCCATGCAGAAATCAGTGGTCGTGGCCGCTGTCGGGCCCTTAACAACAACGCCCATAACCCCACCGGAGCGCACAGCGAACACTTGCTTGTTCGTGTCATCGAAGAACACATTTGTCACTTTGCTGACGGAGTCGAATTTGACGACAGAGGAGGAGAGCTCCAAGTAATACTCGTCCACACTTGCCTCCATCTTCGCCAGGAACCGAAACGCCGGAATCCAAGTTCATCCACACAGACGTACTAGACGAGGGACGTGGGGCAGTTTGACAACTTACGACGAAATGGCATATTCCAGCGCAGTGCGTCTTTGTCTCACTTGTTTCGGAGTAACGGGGCAGACAGGGACAGAAGGTTCGGTGCCGTTTCAGACGCAGCCAGTCAGGACGACCAACAGGGTTATTGCGTAAGGAGAGAAGAGGGCTGTCTGTAATTCTTTCGAGTTTGGTTATTTCCCAGCCTATACTATCCTCTTGAATGTCTGAGTTTAGCATGTAGACTTCTGTGTGTCTTTAAAAATGCTTTCATAGAATCATCGAATCGGATTAAGGGTGCTGTCGAAACCCGATACGATGGCCAGCCTGAACAATGCTTCCCGCTTCGCCGATCTCCGTTTTTGAAAGGCGTTCAAAGAAGACATCTGCTTACTCATTTGCTTCCACAAGATTGTGAGTCAGTTTCTAATGGTTTCTAAACGGAGTCTTCCAAATTCTCTACGTACCCCAACCGAGCTGGAGGGGGCACAAGATGGCAGACCCGTCACACATGGGCGTGCGGCGGGGTGCCTATCCCGTGCTTGGCGGGCGCTCGCGGCCAACGCGACGGTTGGGTTTCGTTTTCGTTTCCTGACCCTGACTGACTCATGTAATTTCGGGATTCCGAAGAATTGGCGGGAGTGCGGTGCGCAGCAGTCGCGCGTTGACTCCGAAACGAAGCGAGCTTGGGGCGCTGCTGGGGCTTGTTGACTGGGCCACAGCCGCTACACCTTCTGCACTTACCTGTACCGCAATCGGTCTGTCTACCTGTGCGCCGTCCCGTCTGGCGTCCGTCCGCCCGGCCGCTCCCTCCCCGCCGTCCCCGCCCCACCCCCGCACACCTGCCCGCTACCCGCACCCTCGCTGCCCACCTGTCCCTGCCCTTCCCCCTCCAGCCCGACGCCCGCCGTGGCCTGCCGACGCCGCGGCGCTCTCCGTCGCACCCCGCGGCCCACAGGTGGGTGCGAGAGAGAGGCCCGACGGGGAAATATTCCCGACGGGCCCTGGCGCGGTCGGTCGGCCGCCGTCGACGTCGACGGAGTCGCCGGGGCTTGCTGGAGCTGCCTGAGAACCCCCACCCCGGGTCCCCGGCGGCCGTAGTGAGCGGGGCAGCGCGGGGCCAGGGCAGCCAGGGCCCAACCCAGCCAGACCGGCCCGGCCGCGGCTAGCGCGGCAGCGCGGCCAGTCAGTTAGTCAGACAGAGACAGTTGTAGTTTAGACCGCGAGCAGGGAAGAGCGTTCGCCGCGTCGCGCGTCACACCGCGTCCGCACCGCGACGCCGTGCCGCGACGCCCCGCGCTTCGAGCGGCGCGCTACGACGACGACGACCGTGAGGCGGGGGGCGCGGCCCTCGCGCGCGCGCGCGTGTGTTTGTGTCTGTAGGTAGTGCAAGTGCGACAGTGCAGTGACCACGGTGACCACCCTGTGCACCCCACCCACGGCACCCTTCCTTTGTGCTGCCCTTCGCTGCCGGCCACCCAGCCCTCCGGCCCCACGCGCAATCTTATCGAGTGCAGCCATTGCCGCAGCGCTACGCCGCCACACCGCTACGCCGCGCATGATGACGGCAGGTGTGCCATAGTCGGTCCGGGCTAAGCTGCGCGCCCTCTCCAACCAGCCTGCGTGGCCCAGCTTCGGTGGCGTCGACTTGTCTTGAGGGGCAGCGCGCCAAGAGGCAGTCTTTGGACATACCTTACCGGCTCGGACGGCTCGGCTCGGCCACAGGCGGCCGCGCGCAGGGGCGTTGTCTGCCGGCCCGCTCGGCGCTGCGCTCCGCGCCAGGCGTCAGGCCTTGCTGCCCGACTCGGCCGGCCCGGTGGAAGGGGACCACGACCACGGGGACCGAGAAGAAAGAAAGACTCGAACCAAAACATCCAAGATGGCGTCGGCGCTGAGCGCGCTGTGCGTGCTGCTGGCCTCCACGGCGATCTCCTTCGCCACGGCACAGGTGCTGCCGCCACCGGGGCCCAACCGCGGCGGCATCTACGTGCCGCCGAACCCCGGCGACGCCAACTACCGCACCTACTTCTACAACGACCGCCGCTACGGCTCGGCCATGCCGGCCAACTACAACCCCTTCGACCCGTACGCCAGGGACCCGTTCCCCAACAGGAACCCCTTCGACAACCAGAACCCGCAGGGCGTGTTCAACCCCAACTACTTCAACCCGGACCCCAACCAGGTCAACCAGCCGGTAAGTTGGCAGGGCTTGTCACGGGAAAAAGGGTGGACCCGGCCGGGGTTCGAACCCCGACCTGCACAGAGACGCAAAAAAGGTGGCCTGGCCGGGGTTCGAACCCCTGCCTGCAGAGTCACGCGATCTGACGAGGGCGCGGGCAAAACGACGACAACCTGCAGAAGCCTGGAGCGGCACGAACCCAACCATGGACCCAACGCCGACCTTCGTCTAACCCGAGTGACCAACCAGGTCGCTTCGTCGGGAAGCGATGTCGTTTAGCTCGCTCCAGGCACTCCAGGGTCAGGGGACAGTGTGTCGCTCCAGTGGAAACGCCGCTGTCATCTTTGGAACGCGGCATCGATGAAAATCGTGAGTGGTGTTTCACTGCCCAGACGGCCCTGCCTCCAGTGCACAGTGGGCTAGAAGACCGGTGGAGGTGGCCGAAACTCGAGACGCGTTTTGAACTCCAGAGTCGCTAAACAGGACTCGAACCTAACGTGTGACCCCATCAATGGATTCCTCGTTCGGAGAGCAATTCATTGGTGGGGTCACACGTGCGGTTCGAGTCCTGTTTAGCGACTCTCGAGCTCAAAACGCGTCCGGTGTTTCGGCCGCCTTCACCGGTCTTCTGGCTCACTGTGCAGTGCTCAGCAGCTGCAGCGACAGTCCGCCTTTTTGCCAAAATCGAGCGTGACCTTTGACTGCAATGAAGACGGTAGCGGAGAGGCCCGCGGCGCCTGGCGGCGCTACGCCTCGCCCACGTGGTGCACTTAGGCGCCCACGACCCGCGACCGTGTGGGAGGGGATCTAAGTGGGTCACACGCACGTGTTATCTAGGCCCAGCAGGGCAGCGCAGGGCACCGCTCATCGCCGAAGAAGCTGGACTGCATTTTTCGTTTTCATCTCGCACCCAGTCGTCATCTAGGCCAGTCAGAGTCAAGCCCGCGGGGGCGGACGAAGCAGGGACGTCGAACTGGCTTTCGTTGCTCTCGCTCATGGCTGGGCCGTGCCGCTGGGCTGCGAGAGGGACAGAGCGACGGAAGCACCGTCCGTGGCATTGCGCTCATTTTCGGCGTCCTGCCCCGTGTCGCTCTTATCAGCGTCCGAGCGGCTCTGTGTACAACACCGTCCGGAGGACACAGGCCGCGACGCGACGCAAGGAACCCCCGAAAAGCACGTCGGCGTCGGCGGGCCGTGGACCGAACAGCGCTCTGTCTCTCTCGCACCCCTGCCGGCCGCCCCACGCACAGTGGACCTGAAGGCCGGTGGAGGCGGCCAAAACTCTAGACGCGTTTTGAGCTCCAGAGTCGCTAAATGGGACTCGAACCGAGCGTGTGACCCCACCAATGGATTGCTCCCCGAACGAGGAATCCTTTGGTGGGGTCACATGTTCGGTCCGAATCCTATTTATCGACTCTGGAGCTCAAAATGCGTCTAGAGTTTTGGCCGCCTCCGCCGATCTTCTGGCCCACTGTGCCACGAGTGCGAGCGAGACAGAGCGACGAGAGCATTGCGGGCGCCGCGGTGCGAATTGGCCGAGCGGACGGCCTCTTTGTGGGAGTCGGCGCAAGAATTCGGTGTGCCGTTCGGCAGCGCGGCGAGGCGGGGGGAAGAATCGGCGCCCTGTGCACGCGTGCAGGCAGAGGCGGCCGGTGATACAGTAAGAGTAACGTTTCCCAGTGTACCGCACTGCGCCGCGAAGCCAAACGTCCTGTTGGCGAGGATTCGAACCAGCGATGGCCCTCGTCGGAGGGACGACTCTACCGCCAAGTGCCGTCAGCCAGATGACACCCGCCACGCGCCGCGAGCCGCGTGGAGAGACAGAGACAGAGGGTGTTCCGGCCGGCTTCCTTCGGGGCCATCCGTAAAGTACGTCCGCTGTTTTTTTGAGGTCACTTGGACCCCCTACCCCTATGTCCGCGATCTAACTTGACCTTCTCCATGATAGGCTGCAAGGGCGGATCCAGAGACGGGTTCAGGGGGAGGGGGGGATTTCGCAAAACACTGCAAAGCCGGTGGTATGTTTACTTGCCACAAATTTGGCAAGCCGTTTTGAATGCCAAAAATTGGCAAGCCTGGCCCAGAAATACTTCTCAGCTTGCCAAAATTTGGCAAGCTTGGCTCGGAAATACTCCCTAGCTTGCCAAAATTTGGCAAGCTTATGTAGATTGCCGACCAAAGCTTGCCAAATTTTGGCATTCAAAACGGCTTGCCAAATCTGTGGCAAGCAAACTTACCACTAGCTTTGCAGTGAAGTTGCCTACCTACAGGGGCTACAGACGCCCCCGTCGCCCCCTGGATCCGCGCCTGATGGGCTGTCCGTTTTCCCCTCTCCCCCCCCCCTGAACCTCCGGGGGCTCCCCGTAAACCGGTAAACGGATCCCCGCTCCCGGACGCCCCCTCGACCCCGCGTGATCGGCAGTGGCCATCTCGCCGCTGCGCTCCCGCCATGCTCCCGCAGTCCCGCAGCGCACGTGGGAAGATTCTTTTAATTTCATTTCATTTTATGCCCCCATGCCGCGCTAGTGCTGCGCCGCACAGTGGGCCAGAAGACCGGTGGAAGCGGCCAAAACTCCTTGACGCGTTTTGAGCTCCGGAGTCGCTAAATGGGACTCGAACCCAACGTGTGACCCCACCAATGGATTCCTCGCTCGGAGAGCAGTCCATTGGTGGGGTCACACGTTCGATTCGAGTCCAATTTAGCGACTCTGGAGCTCAAAACGCGTCTAGAGTTTTGGCCGCCTCCGCCGGTCTTCTGGCCCACTGTGCGCCGGGCCGCGCCATTCCGAGAGGACGCTTCGCCGCTCTGTCTCTGTCGCGCCCCTACGGAACGTCCCATGAGTGCGGCAAAGACGGAGGAGTCGACTCTTCCGAATCGCTGGTCGCTGGCCGCAGCCCTCCCACCGCGGTTCAGACAGCTTCCCGCCGCTTTGCCGACGCGATGCGATGCGCGCTTCCACTTGCAGAGTACCAGTCGGGCGGCAGTCCGGCAGGCGGCGTTTGGAACAAAAAGGCAAAGTCAAGCCGGGGGCCGAGCCCCTAGGCCGAGCCGGAGGCAGATATTGTCCATCCCGTAAAAGCGCACTTTTCGTTGTTTTGTAGCGTCGCGGTGCGTGGCGTGCGTGCGTGCGGCCCGCGGGAAAGTCACGCTCCGCTGCAGGTGGGGCGGATCCTACTCTGCTCAAAATCTATCGACGACGCTACACTTTCAATTACTTCATTTACCGTCCCAGCCATTATTTGAGCAGCGAGGGTGTGTGGTGGCGCTGCACAGTGGGCCAGACGACAGGTGGAGGCGGTCGAAACCCCGGACGAGTTTTGAGCTCCAGAGTCGCTAACTGGGACCGAACGTGTGACCCCACCAACGGATTGCTCTCGGAACGGGGAATCCATTGGTGGGGTCACACGTTCGGTTCGAGTCCTGTTTAGCGCCTCTGGAGTTCAAAACGCGTCTAGAGTTTTGGCCGCCGGCGCCGGTCTTCTGGCCCACTGTGTGCTGCTCGCCTGCTGCAGGGCCTGCAGGGCCTGCCGAGGCTGCCAGGGACACGCGCTGGCGGAAGCACTGTTTGCCTGTTTGTTCCCCGCGTGTTTGCCTGTCGCCGCGTCGCCGCGTTCGGGACGGTGCGGCCGGAAGTGCGTACTATGAATTTCGAGTGGAGTTTTCGGGAGTGGGTCCTCAAACGGGCGCGCAGAAACTGCGTGGCCGTCGCCCTCTCGAGGCCCAGCCGTCCCCGTGAACTGTGTGAAGGCTTTGGTGAGGGCACCGGTACGTTTAGGACGGGCTGATTCCGAGAGTCGTTTTCGTCGCTCTATCTCTCTCGGCACGCCCTACGCGACGGAGCGACCAACACGACTCTCGGAATCAGTCCGCAGGGGCTGCCAGTCTTGGTGCATATCACTGGAAATGGCGCCGCCGCGCCGCCCCTCCTCGTAGACACGAACATGCAACCCCTCGTCTTGGGTCCTCCAGGATGACGTCGTCTTTACGTCGTCTACGTCGTGCACGCACGCCTTCGTCCTTCAGTTTGGTTCCGACATGGTTCCGAGCAGTGCTCGGCAGTGCTTCGTCGCTCTGTCTCTCTCTATGGTCTCTCTCGATGGTGTTCAGTAGGGGTGTGAGACAGCCCAGCCTAGAGCACGCGCGGCGTCACCGAATTTGGCCGGCGGGCGCGTCACGCCGTGGTCACGCTACGGACGCATAACGCCGCGTCAGTCGTCCGAAACACGCGTCCCGTGATTCAACGATTCGCCGGGCCGGCCGGCCGGACAGAGCGGCGTGTCACTCGTGCCGTCTCTCTCGCTCCCACGGCGCGGTCCACGAGTGCGACGGAGACAGAGAGAGATGTCCGTCCTGCCGCGCATGTCCGGCCGATGCGCCGCTGAATGCCGCGTGCAGCCCCGCGCTGCCCCGCGGTGCTTTGCGGGTAATTTGACGTGGAGCGACAACGCGGCGGCGAGGCGGCGCGCGCGAGACCGCCCCGCCGCGTCAAAACAGTGCGGCGGCGCGAAAAAAATCAAATCGAGTGTTCGCTTCCTCGGGTTGCAGACTGTCCGTGACGCAATGTGGGTTATCTATGTCCTGGGCGAGGCTCAGATAGCAAGGTGCTTCCGGTCTCAAATTACTTTCCGTTTCGCACAGAGCAAGCTGTGGCGACCTGCCCAGTTAGGTTCCTCTATCTTGTTAGACACGTCTCCTTCCGTCCGTCTTCTGCTCTGTGAAGGTTCAAACGAACGCGCGGTTGAACCTTCCCACAGTGGGCCAGAAGACCGGTGGAGGCGGCCAAAACTCTAGACGCGTTTTGAGCTCCAGAGTCGCTAAACAGGACTCGAACCGAACGTGTGACCCCACTTTTGGATTCCTCGATCGGAGAGCAATCCATTGGTGGGGTCTCACGTTTGGCTCGAGTCCCATTTACCGACTCTGGAGCTCAAAACGCGTCAGTTTTGGCCGCAGGCGCCGGTCTTCTGGCCCACTGTGCGTCCCATAGACAACGTAGGGTGCGTCCGCCGGGTCTGCGGGCGATTTCAACGCAAGTTGCGGTGCGACGTCTCGGCGGAAACGAGTGAACTCCTCTTCCTGCGAACACGTCGGCCTCTCGTGTTCTGATTGCCACTTTGGAGCCCGGGGCGTGGCACCGGCAAACGCCGCGGCGTTTCCCGACGCCGCGTTCTGCGATACACTCCACTGGGTGAATCAGGAGGACCGGGCCCGACCGGGCCGCTCGTTCTACCTCAACGGCGGCCGCGCGTGAGTCACAGGGGGCGTGGCGGCGCGTGGCGGCAGCGGGCTGTCCTTGCAGAATGAATCCACTCGGTTGCATAGCTGCGTTTGCCGCGCCGTAGCGTGCCGTGGCGTGCCGTGCGTGCCGTGGCGCCGCGAGGCCGAGTGATTCACCCACCGCGGGAGTGTCACGTCGAGTCACGTCACGCGTCGTCACGCCAGCCAGGTCGTCTTCTTGTGACCGCTAGAGTGACCAAGCGGAAGTCATCAGCCGAGAAAAATGGGATGGGCCGGAGGCGCGGCGATGCAGGCCATGCAGACGATGCGGCCTAGAACTCAGGGAAAACACGCAAAGCGTCAAATTGGATCGCAAAAAATAATACTTTCTAGAAAACTGTCGGAAAAACTGTAAAAACTGATAAGGAATGTCAATGTCAAGCTCGTGGGCAATCCGTGTGGGTTGCTGGCGTGGTCAGGGCCTTGTTTGCCACGGCGGAGGTGCGGGGAGTTGCAGTGCAGCCTCGTCAGATGCGATCGCCCCCTTACCCGGCACCACGCCGAGGCACTGCTGCTGCCGCCGTTGCCGCTGGCGACGGGGAAGGGGAAGGGGGCAGGATCGAAGGTGCACGTGCAAGTGCAGGCCGTGCCAAGGACGCCCTCCGCTCACTTCACTGGAGTCCTCGCTGCCGTCTGCCGTTCGCACGGCCGGGACGCTATGCACGCCATGCACTCAAACAAAGACAAAGGAAGGATTCGCCAAAGGCCTTCGAGAATGGCGACCTGTTGCCTGCAATGGCATAAGACGAGATCGGCGACCGTTTTGATTCTAATGGAGTCACGCCCGTGATGCGAATGGGGGCAGTGTAGTAGTCGGAGTGCGCGTCACATCCAGCCATCCAGCTGCAGCGCTGCCTGCTGCTGCTTGCTATGCAACCTCGCGCCCTACTCGCGGCTGGCGCTCCGGCCGCGCCGCCGGCTCGGCTCGGCTCGGCTCGGCTCGGCTCGGCTCGGTTCTCGTCGCTCCGCTCGGCTCAAAGCGGGCCGTCCGGGCCGTCCTCGCCACAGTGCCCGTGTAACGGCGTCGTCGTCCGTCCCTTTGGCAACGCGTATGGCACGGCGGCGCAGGCACTTTCCCTGGAGGAGGGGGGTTCTTTGTGGTCCCCGCGGTGTGTCCAGGACGTCGTCGACGACGGAGACGGCCCGGATGGCGTTCAAAGTGGAGCCTTGTGGTCCCCGCGGTGTGTCCAGGACGTCGTCGACGACGGAGACGGCCCGGAGGGCCTTCTAGGTGGAGGGCGGAGGGCTTTCGGAACTATTTCACACTCAGAATGCTGACTCTGCGGCTGCGGCGGTTCGAGCTGACTAAGCCGACGGCCCCAGCTGCGCGCCGCGCGTTGCCACCAAGTCCGCCAATTGCGCGAACTGGCATCGCTTTCCCATTTGTATTTGTATCTCTGCTGACGCGCTGTCTTTCTTTCCTGTTGCAGGGCGGCCAGCTGCCGCTGCCCGGCGTGCTGGCCGGCTGGCGGTCGGACCTGCAGGGCAAGATGCGGCCCGACTCGCTGACGCTGGACAAGGACGTGCACGTGCAGACGACGTACGGCCAGGTGCAGGGCTTCAAGACGTACCTGTACGACAACCCGGACCCGCTGTCCGGCTACCGGCCGGGCCTCACGCCCGTGGAGCGCGTGCAGGGCATCGTGCACACCTTCCTGGGCATCCCGTACGCCCAGCCGCCCGTCAACGAGGGCCGCTTCAGGGTGAGTGGAGTCGAGGAACGCGTCCACCTCATACAGTAGTGGGCCAGACGACTTAGAAACTTTTGAGTCGCAAGCAAACGCAACTGGCGCCCGGAGAGCCCGCCTAGCGTCGCCGCAGGGCCCGGGACGCCCGGACGCCCCGACACAGGGCCCGGAGGCCCGGACGCACCGGACGCAGGGCCCGGAGCTCTGGAGGCCGCCGCTCCGTCTCCTCCGCGGCGGAGGTCAATGCACTTCCCCGCCGCACCGCGAGCCCCCCCCCCCCCCTCCGCGCCCCGCCCCGTTCCTTTTCCACCGACGCGTACTGCATGTCGGCGTCGGCCCCACAGAATGCGCCCGGAAAATTCAGAGGGAAGTCCAGCGGAAAACTCGAAAATGCCAGCGGGTTATCGCTCGCGTTCAAAGGCGGGGCCGGAGTGCTTTCCGCGCGTCACGATGGGCCCCTCGTCGTGCTTTCGCTCAGCCAGTCTCACTCGAGGGCAGCAGACCAAGAGATGGACCTGGACCACTTGCTCCGCCACAGAAAAGAAAAACGTCTCGCTCTGCTGGGATTCGAACCCGTGACCCATATAAACCGCGGCGCCGCTGCATTCCGCGCGCGCGATTAATTCTGACATAACCAACCGGACATGACCGGCGCGACCGATGACGCTCCCTCTCAGGGAGTCGCTCTGTCTCTCTCGCGCTCACAGGCCGTGCCGTCTATCGCTGAGAAAGAGAGAGAGAGAGAGAGAGAGAGAGAGAGAGAGAGAGAGAGAGAGAGAGAGAGAGAGAGAGAGAGAGAGAGAGAGAGAGACGAGACAGAGGACTGTTGGCGGCTGCTCGCGCGCTCCAGATGCCGGACTGCACTGCGTTCCAGGTTCCAGGACCGCTGGACTCGCGGTGCGGTGAGAGTGACCGTCGGTCCGTCCCCTTCCCCCCTCCGCGCGGACGCCAATGGAGTACCTCCTTCGATTTAGAGTACCCCTTCCTCCCGACTGTGGACCCGTATTTTTGACAGTGCATTTATTCCTCGTGGCGGCTTAGCCCATCCTGCCCTGCAGCGGACTCATTCCGAGAGTCGTTTAGTCGCTCTGTCTCTCTCGCACTCGTGGGGCGTCCCTTACAGGTGCGAGAGAGACAGAGCGACGGGGACGACTCTCGGAATGAGTCCGCAGGCTGTGGCCAAGGCGAGCCAAGGCTCCAGCGGGCACGAGCCGGCAGTCACATGATAACGATGCGGGTGCGAGCGAGAGGGTTGACAAAGCATGTGGGTCCGCAGCGCTGCCGCAGCAGCCCAGCCATTCAGATGAGCGGTTGAGTTCGTCGCTCTGTCTCTCTCGCACCCTTACGGGGAGGTCCGTGAGTGCGACAGAGACAGAGTGACGAAAGCAAGCTTCGGAATCGCTCGGAAGCCCGCGCGTGTCTCCCGGTGGCCACCCCAATATGACAGATTAAAATACTGCCGCCGTCTCCCTGTCCTGTCCGTCCTCTCCGTCAATAGAACGCCCCGTGCTGCCATGCAACAAGACGGGCCGCGGACAAACGGGACAAACCGCCGCAGTCTTGGCAATGCGGTTTCTTGTTCTCAAGTGCGATGCTGAGCACGGTTCAGTCGTTTTACATCCATTTCCCGTCAATTCCAAAGCAACTTTATCCGGTCTGATTCCCTTTAAATTGCCATGGTTTTCCCGTGGTTGGCCTTCCACAATCCCGTATGCACAGTGGGCCAGAAGACCCAGATTGTGGAGACGGCCAAAATCCCAGACGCGTTTTGAGCTCCAGCGTCGCTAAACAGGACTCGAACGGAGCGTGTGACCTCACCAATGGATTCCTCGTTCGGAGAGCAATCCATTGGTGGGGTCACACGTCCGGTACGAGTCCCATTTAGCGACTCTGGAGCTCGAAACGCGTGTCGAGTTTTTGCAGCCTCCACCGGTCTTCTGGCCCACTGTGGTATGGAGGCAGGACGTGCGGTGCGCCGCGGTATGCGTGCCGTGGGAAGGGAAGGGAATTCCACCGCGCTGCGCCCTGCCGCCCCGCGTCTGGCAGACAGAGACACCAGATAGGCCCGTGCGGCCGTGTTGGGCCCCGTGGCTGCCCGTGGCCCGAGACACAAAAGCCGGCCGAACGGACAAGACAGATTTCACTTCCTTGCACTTATTAAGAAAAAAGAATTTCCACGCCGGCGGTTGGAGAGAAAGCGCGCGGAATTTTAACGTAGGACACAGTTTCTCGTGTGGGGAAGTCCCTTCTGTACACACACTGAGGTTCTAGGGGGCAGGCAACCCCTTCGAATGTAAGGCTGCTTCCTCTGTCTCTCTCGCACTCATTGGGCATCCCCGAGGTGTGATTCATTTGCGCAGTGTATCGTCAGTCTGTCTCTCTCGCACCCCTAGGTGACGCCCCATGAGTGCGGAGAGACAGTGGCGGGACGGTGCGGACGCAGGCCGGTGGCCTCTGACCCCCGTGGGCAGGGGATCTCGTTCCTACGCCAGACCAACACCCTCACAGTCTCGCAGTCACACAGCGGCAGCGTTAACAAGAAAATGAGTGGCGACGGTACTCTGCGAACTCGGCGGACAGCACGAGCCGCGAGCCTAGCCCGCCCCCCGCCCACGCATTCAAAAGTCGCGCGGAAGGAAGAGAGCGAGACTCGGCGGCACGGCGACGCGACGCGCCTTGGCGACACGCCGTGGCCAGTCACTGTGCACGACCCGAGGAGATCATTGAGATCTCTTGGTGCGAGCGAGTGCGAGTGGTCGTCTTGGACGCGCGGGGCGTGGGCCGAGAGCAACACCGTCTGAGACAGCGTGAACGAACCCTAGGTTTCTGGACCTTGGAGGCACTTTGAACCACTCTTTCAACCGTGGTTCTGATAGCACACGCAAAAATTTCTTCCAAATAACATTATTACTTTACGTACGCCGTAGAAGGTCGACGCCTCCCTGTTTTCCTGCTCCAACTCGTCCTGAATCGTCACTTCCACTGTACGTGCTGGCGGGCTGGCGGCGGTCCACCGTGAGGGCGGCCGGTTCCATTTGTCACTTATGACCGAAATTAAGAGTGGAGTAGATGAGTGTCCTGCGGAGCAGTGCGGAGGCGGTGGCCGGTCGCTGCGGAGACGTAGAGTCCTGGAGGTCTAGGACTCTAGCCCTTGCTGCCTTCTCATTGGCTCCGCTGCTGTTTCTTTCGGCCGGCCGGCCGGCCTCTGTTGCGGCCACGGCCACGGCGCAGTGGAGCAGGACACCTCACTTCCGCTGCGGGCACTGCAGTGCTTTCGGCGCTCTGTCTCTCTCGCACTCATGGGGCGCTGCACATGGGTGGGAGAGAGACAGAGCGATGGAGTCAGCCTGCCCCCCCCCCCCCAGCCAAGAGGGAAGCACCGACTGCTGCGTGGCGGTGGCGCACTGGCGCATGGTGCGTGCGGGTGCATCTCAAGTGCATGCCTGGAGGGTCATGGAGGCGTGCACCGCGCACCGCAGCATGACCGCCATAAAGGGGGGGGGGGCGTCGCGACGGCGCTTGAAAAGGCAGTGATTGTGGCCCAGACGTCCGTCGTCTTGGCCGAGCCGTCCGGGCCGCCCGTCCGAGTAGGCCCGTCCGGTCGAGACATCCCAGACGTCTTGCAGACGTCCGTCCGGAAGCGGCGCCACCGCCCACCACCGCCCTTGCCCTTGCCCTTGCCGCCGCGATGCCGCTTGTGATGCGCCTTTGCGGACAATTGCCGGCCTGCCGGGCCTGCCGGGCCTGCCGGGCCGGGCTGCCCACGACTTCCATTGAGATTAATTAATCGAGAGTTCGAATCGGGGCGCCCCGCCCCGCCCCGAGAAAGGCGCCGTGTCGCGCCGGTCATGATTTAGCGTGCGAAACGGCGGGCGGCCCTTCCCTGGCCTGCTTCCGAAAAGCGTCGCTCTGTCTCTCTCGCGCGCGTGGGGCGTCGCGCCGGGGTGCGAGAGAGACAGAGCGACGAGCCTCCCTGCTCATGAGACGATGCTGTTTTTGTGTTGCAGCCGCCGCGGGCGCACCGAGGCTGGCAGCTGATCCAAGCCGTGGACTTCGGCCCCGCGTGCCCGCAGCCGGTGCGGTACACTGGCGCGGCGAAGGGCGTCCGCGACATGGACGAGGACTGCCTCTACCTCAACGTCTACTCGCGGACGGTAAGGCACTTGGATTGGAAGGCGTTGCACAGAGTGCAATGCACAGTGGGCGAGAAGACCGGTGGAGGCGGCCAAAACTCTAGACGCGTTTTGAGCTCCAGAGTCGCTAAATGGGATTCGAACCGAGCGTGTGACCCCACCCCTCCGAACGAGGAATCCATTGGTGGGGTCACTCGTTCGGTTTGAGACCTGGTTAGTGCCTCTGGAGCTCAAAATGCGTTTAGAGTTTCGTCCGCCTCCACCAGTCTTCTGGCCCACTGTGAGTTGGCGGTGCTCGAACCTTGGCCGACGCCGTGCTCTCTGCTCACGCTGTGTGCTGTTGGCGTTTTCAGACGGTGTCCGGGCTAGCGCAGAAGTTCCCCGTCATGGTGTACATCCACGGCGGCGAGTACTACAAGGGAGCCTCCAACACCTTCCCCGGACACGTCCTGGCCGCGTTCTACGACGTGGTGGTCGTCACCATCAACTACCGACTGGGGGCGTTAGGTGCGTCCGCTCTTGCACTGTGCCACTCTCCTTGCCGTGCTGCGACCGTTCTGACGCTCTTGTCCATCCCCAGGCTTCCTCTGCACGGCCGACACCAACTCGCCGGGTAACTACGGCGTGCTGGACCAGGCCATGGCCATCAACTGGGTGTACGACAACATCGACGCGTTCAACGGCGACCGCAAGTCCATCACGCTGTTCGGGCCGGGCGCCGGGGCGGCGAGCGCGGGGCTGCTGATGGTGGCGCCGCGCACCAGGGACTTGGTGACGCGCGTCATCGCGCAGAGCGGCTCGGCGCTCTCGGACTGGGGCATCATCATCGACCAGTACCGCGCCGTCAACACGTCGCGCGTCTTCGGCCAGGTCATGGGCTGCAGCATCGAGCCCGCCTGGAAGCTGGTGGACTGCCTGCGGCGCGGCCGCAGCGCCATCGAGCTGGGCAACGCCGAGTTCCACGTGAGTAGCTGCCTGCCTCCCTCGCACCCCTGCACAGTGGGCCAGAAGACCGGAGGAGGCGGCAAAACTCTAGACGCGTATTGAGCTCCAGAGTCGCTAAACGGGACTCGGACCAACCGTGTGACCCCACCTTTGGATTCCTCGCCATTGGTGGGGTCACACGTTCGGTTCGAGGCCCCTTTAGCGACACCGGAGCTCAAACCGCGTCAAGAGTTTTGCCGCCTCCACCGGTCTTCTGGCCCACTGTGCCCTGCGGAATGGAATGCGGGGTGCCCCATGAGTGCGACTGAGACGACTGCGGAATGAGTCTGCAAGCCCGGCCGGCGCTACTCCGCGCGCCAGGGACTCTCGACTCGACCGACGCGTGGCGCGGCGTGGCGTGGCGTGGGGTATTGACAGTCATTCCCTTGTTGCAGCCGACCGTGGGGCCCTTCCCCTGGGGCCCAGTCCTGGACCGCAACTTCACCAAGCCGGGTGACAGCTGGTACCACGGCTGGAAGGAGCGAGACTGGCACTTCTTGAACCGAACCCCAGAGGACCTCATCAAGCAGGGGCACTTCAACCGAGGCCTGAGTTACATGAGTGGAGTCACTTCGCAAGAAGCAGCCTACATCATCTGTGAGTTTAGAAATTGTTTAAGAAATCTCTGCTGCTGCTAGTTATGTTTCATAACTCAACAATTTCCGTTTTGCAGCTCAAAATGAAAGTTTGGTCTCAGTACATTATGAAGTGAACGAACGATTCATGCAACAAAAAATAAGAGAAATGGTAGCTCGGTTTAATTACACACTAAACCCTGGCGGAGTATATGAAGCCATCAAATACATGTACACGTATCACCCAGATCCTCGGAATGTAACTCATATACGAGAACAATACATTCATGTGAGTAAATTTATTTTATAATCACATTCTTTTTATAGATTCTCTAAGTGACCAAACTGTTTTTACTTATTCTATAATTGTTCCTCCTCAGATGATGTCTGATTACTTGTACCGAGCTCCTAATGATAAAATTGTGAAGCTTCTTGTAGAACAAAATGTTCCAGTATACATGTATGTTATGAACACTACAGTTGAAGCTTTAAAATTGCCTGAATGGAGAAAATACCCACATGACATAGAGCATTTGTTTCTAACTGGTGCTCCATTCATGGATGTTGGTAAGTTTCTGTTGCGTTGGACTATCAATGTATTGTTTTATTGAGCTTTGCTTTGACTTGATTCAATTGTTTTTCCCCACAGAATTTTTCCCAAAGGAAGCTGGGTACGATCGTCTCATGTGGACTGAAAATGATCGAAACATGAGTCACTTTTTCATGAAAGCATTTTCTGATTTTGCAAGATATGGGTGAGTGCCTCATAAAATTATTTTTTCAGCGCGGAAAAAAAGCTTCTTGCGTTTATCATGTAATTTTGTTTTCCAGAAATCCTACTCACAGCCAAATTTTAGGATTACATTTTGAATTGGCCAGGCCAGGGCAATTGAAATACCTGAACCTGAATACAACTTTTAATTCATCCATTTATTTAAATTACCGTCAGACTGAGAGTGCTTTCTGGACCATGTACCTTCCAACTGTAATTGGTCATTTGGTCCCTACGTATCCCCCAACAACAGAGGTAATCATGAGACAAATTAAAATTTCCTGAAAATTTCTGTGTCTTAATCTCCTCTAACCATCGTTGTTTATATTTCTCAAACAGTGGTGGGAGCCGAGGCAACCTATCCAAATAGCATTTTGGAGCGTCTCAGCAATTTGTCTTCTGCTGATTGTTGCTGTTGTGGCCTGTTGTATCCTATGGAGAAATGCTAAAAGGTAAGCTATTTTTTATTTACCTTCATTTAAAACTCTGTCACATTTGAACATTTGGATAGGTCTTAGTCAGTTATTTATCAAAAATCTAAAAAAATTTAGAGGTACACAATGTAAGACCACTATATACATTCAAGTGACAAAATTTCTTTTTGGAGGATTGGTGGTTGTTTCATCTTTTTCCTGACACTGTCTGAGACTGAGACGTGCTGGCTCAGAAAGTGTGATATTCACTCACGGTTCCTTTCTTGCTGGTACTTTTTAGAGGCACATGTGAATACTTTATACCACCCGGGCTTCAGTTCGTTTACTAAATTATTAATGAAGGGAACAAGAATGTGACAACGTAGATCATATTTGACAATAGAGTAGGAGGGAACATTTTACTCAGCTGCAGTTGTATATTTTTATTGTTGAAAAATTCTAATCTCCCAAATTTGAGCAAGCAATAACAGAATTTTCCAAATCTAACCCAGGGGCAGCTTGTTGCTTTTCATGTTCAGATAGAGCATTTGTGTGCTTATTGCATGTCATTGTAATGATTTCTACACCTTGAAAAAAGATGATTGGAATTATTTTTTCCTACCAATCTACTTTTTGAAGGACTTATACTAAATAAACAAAGAACTATTTTCATTTTATTCATCTGCTACTTGTCATGCTTTGTGTAAGCAAAAAGGGTATTCATCAAAACTGTATTACTATTATCAAATGTTTTTATTTTTGCTGCTAAGTGCTCTTGACTTTGTCAAGAATCAAAAGGGAATTGGGTAAGGAGGAAAATCCACGTTTCTTTCAAATTGTTTTGCTTGGTTTTAATTTATTTTTGCAACACGCTTTTCATTTTTATAACAGTATTCCACAGAATGAAATGGACATGTAAGCCATGTAAGTGTCACCATCTTGATTCCAGGGAAGCAGTGGTGGGTCTCTCTCACAATCTGCTTACTACCTCCTTGGCTTGACACAACCATCTGCAACATGCAATATTGGCTTTTTTTTGTGTACATTGTAATTAACTGCTTTCATATCACTTAATTGTTTTTCCCTTTGGTATCGTTTTTTGGTGCACTTCAGAAAAATAATAAACTCTTGCCTTCCAGCTTGCTTCTATGCTGTGACTAATCAAGGATTTACACATTGCGCTAGCTTCTTAACGCACTTTTTATTTTTAACATTACAAAGAGTTTTTGCCTCACTACTAACCCACTCTAGATACACATACATTTTATAAGAGAGTTTTCTAAAATACTCAGGATTTAAGATATTCATGTACATTAAAATTTTATACCATCGTACTTAACTTGTGCATGCAGTAAAATAATCCTCTGGGCTGATTTCCCAGCTGGAAAATAATTCTGTTGATTCGCATACTATTTCGATCAATCTTTGTCAGTGAACCATGCTTATGGAGACATTTAATTTGAATCCCCATGATCTAAAACATAAATATTTGTTTGTTTCAGGCAACAAGACCGATACTACAGTGGAGACCTGCTGATGATGAGGGATGAATCAGAAATCACTGGTTTAGGTGCCGCTTCTGAAAATCCAAGTCATCTGTATGAGTATCGAGACACACCCTCCATTGGTGAAAAGCAGCCTCAGGTTAAAGTTCAAATGCATACTCGCCCAGTCCCTGCAGAGCCCACCAAGGCAGCTTCTGTCAGGACAGGAAGTAATCAATCATTAAAAGACGCTATAAATGGTTTCCCATCGGGTGAGTCACGCATTGAAGCAAGACCTCCTTTACCTCAACCAGTGGCCGCGGTCCCAGTACCAACCACAAGACCAAGAGGCACATTAAGCAGAACTCATTTAGAGGGTGGTATTCCTCAAACAGAGGTATGAAACGTGGTACCTAGTTCTATCAAATTGTTACCTGATAAAATTTACATTTTTGGTGAATTTTACTTTAAGTCATTATTTATGAGCAGGATTTGCCTGATGTTATATGATGAAATATTCTATCTCATTAGATAGGTACTTTGGAAATTATTTCTGTTATTATACCAGTCAAACATTGTGTGTCGCATCTGTCTTGAAAACAAGAGAACTTTCTATGAGATTTTTGTGCATTTCAGAGAGGCACTCCCTTTTATTGCATGTTGCTCATTTTTGGTGTGTCTTTTAAGCATCATGTGTTAGTAAGAAGTGTAAGTAAATGGGCTTTATGTATAGATTATCACTGCCACATGTATTGATCTCTCATTTTTGTATGTTATTATTCATTGTTATGTATGAAATCAAGTACTAATCTATAGTACTAGTAATATGAGGAAGAAATTTGCCCCTTCTCGTTGTGCCTTGATAGATCAATTGTCTGAATCCTCCACTTTTTCCAAGTTTTGGCAAAATTTCCCTTAATGCTTGTTGGACTAAAGGTGGATATGATTACTATCAGTACTGAAAAAACTATTTTTCACTGAGATGCTCCAATGTTGTGCCATACAGAACTTTTTTACACCAACCAGATGTTTTATATGCCCGTTTTTTCCCTACAGTAATTGTGATTCAAAGACTTTTAAAGAAGCCATATTGTTTACATCCATGACTTTCTATTTTGATAAGCTGGGTTCTTAAAACATCATTCCGTTCTGTGAAGGTAAATAATCTAGTTCTGATTCCTTGCCAGTATTGAACATTTCTGTCATATTCTGATCTACTGAGACTTTGGTTTGCCCTTGGACATATTCTATCCATGCCTTGAATCTAAGTATCTAGGAATCTAGGTAATTTTGGCTTTAGATGCCATGTACTTTTTGAGTCATTTGTGTATGCTTTAATATATGTGTGTGTTAGTGTGTGTCTGTGAGTGTGTATGTGTGTGCGCATGTGTGTGCACTTGCACCATGAATGATTTTAAACCATCTGTAAAGTGACGATTGAAATCATTATTTTACCAGTATTGAAGATTATTAGAAAGTTAGTATTTTTTAATATTTTATTTATGTACATTGTATATTAAGATTTAATATTTATACATGTGCTATGTGTCCCTGTCTTATGCCGTCCATTCGTTTGTCAATAAATGTTTATGTCCTCTTCATATGTAAATATAGATGTTTAATGTTAGTTATATTTTAATGTTTCGAACCTAGTGAGTAAGGCAAAATTGTGTCCGAAAGATAGATGCTACTGGTTTAACTTTTCAGTTTTTCATCGGTTTATTCTTTATATTGTGCAGTAGAAAAACTTAGCCATATGTCATAAAGATAAAGAACTTTCTTGACTCACCTGGTCATTGGTGTCATGCATTGACACTCTCCATGAAATTATTTGCTTTCTCTTTCATGAAGATGCTCCTCCTTATTTATTTGCGGGAACTGTGTTTGGTATACTTAATTTGATTTGTATATTTTGCAGCTATTGAATCTGTCGAAAATGTACATTTTATTGTATTGAATGTAAAGAAACATAATTTTATACTTGATAAGGTAGAATCTGTAACACTTGTCTATAAAAATAAACAGTCAAAATCCTGTTTTCAGTCTGTGTTTGATTTCCTTACAAAGCCTCAAATACATAAACTTAACTGACCTCACACAGCAAAATGAATCACTTTTATTTCCTAGACCATTTCTGCCCTAAGCAGCTTTTTTCTAACAAATAAGTGGAAGAACTGAAGCATACGCCAAGCGGGTAGGCCACCAACTGTCCACATCTTCTACGCCACTCATGTAGCGCCATTGAAAAAGTCATCAATGCGTCGAAGAACATCAGGCAACTCAGGGCCTGCGCCATGTAGGCAGGCAACCCATTATTCACAGCTTCTTGAACTCAACCCCTATCACGGAAAATGGAATGCGTCAAAGACCATTGGGCAACTATCCGGGCACCGAATATCTGTTTCTTAGACCCAAATCAAGGTTCCATATGAATTTGAGACGAATCTGAAGTGGTTGACCATTTTCGTCGAAAAAATGTTAAGGCTATTATACATCATGGTTTTTTCACGTTTTGGGCAAAAAAATTAAAATGGCTCAAATTCGAGTATGTTGTGCTGGAGCACTCCCCCAAGACAGCTGACACTATTTAGGGGGCCATTTCGGCTTCAAACGGCAATTTTCTAGCAAAATACGGGAATGCACCGAGCATGCGCCGTGTAGATAGGCAACCCACCGAACACGGCTTCTTCAACACTACGAGCGTCCCGGGAAAAGTCATTTTCACGCCGTATGGATTGCGTCAAAGACCATTGGGCACCGGATATCTGTTTCTTAGACCCAAAGCAAGGTTCCATATGAATTTGAGACGAATCGGAGGTGTTTGACCATTTTCGTCGAAAAAATGTTAAGGCTATACATCATGGTTTTTTCACGTTTTGGCCAAAAAAATTAAAATGGCCCAAATTCGAGTATGTTGTGCTGGAGCACTCCCTCAACTCTCCTGACACTATTTAGAGGGCCATTTCGGCCCGAAACGGTCTTTTTCTGGCGAAAAACTGGACTTCTTTCGACATGCGCCGTGTAGATAGGCAACCTACCGAACACAGCTTCTTCAACTCTACAAGCGTCCCGGGAATAGTCATTTTCACGCTAAATAGAAAGCGTCAAGGACCATTGGGCACCGGATATCTGTTTCTTAGACCCAAGGCAAGGTTCCATATGAATTTGAGACGAATCGGAGGTGGTCGACCATTTTCGTCGAAAAAATGTTAAGGCTATACATCATGGTTTTTTCACGCTTTGGCCAAAAAATTTAAAATGGCCCAAATTTGAGTATGTTGTGCTGGAGCACTCCCTCAACTCTCCTGACACTATTTAGAGGGCCATTTCGGCCCGAAACAGTCTTTTTCCGGCGAGACACTGGAATGCACCGAGCATGCGCCGTGTTGGTAGGCAACCCATCGCTCACAGCTTCTTGAACTCAACTAGCATCACAGAATATGTCATTTTCACTCCAAATGGAATGCCTCGAAGACCATTAGGAATCGGTCTTCTGTTTCACAGAGCCACAGCAACCTTTCTTGGGCTGTGTCTTAATTAAATGGTTGAGCCTTACAAGGTCGAGCCTTGCAGTGTTCTGTTTTGTTCTTTTGGTTCACTCAAAAACTGGAGGGGGTATGAATGAGGTTGATAATAATGTGATAACAATATCATAAGCATCAACTATAGTTTATCGGAAGAAATTCAACACCAAGGAACACGACAACAAATTATGTATACTGTACAGGCATTAAATAAATGTGTCTATCAATATAATTCATACTTTTGACATATCACAGAAAAAAACAATAATGAACCATAGCAATAAAAGGTTGTAATACTTTCCGACTTATGGAATCCTTATTAAATAGGTACAAAGAAAAAACAACAAAAAAACAAGGAGGGTTGCAACCAATTCACAGCAGATTAAAACACACACATTCTCTCATATCTATGCTCTAAATTCGCCCTGGGCACAAAAAAATTTACGAACTCGAGGACTTGAAGACAGTAGATTGACCAGTAAAACAAAACATAATTTTGGAGATATTTACGTTGTTCTTTCATGTCATGGCCCTGTCAGTCTGTTGCTCAACTCAGTGGATTTGGCAGACAAAGTTTTACCCAGAAATGGCGGCTGCAGTGCGTACTAACCACGGAGGACTGTACTTTGAGCACCCGCGCCACTTGCGGTCCGGTCCGTCCGCCCGTCCACACACCCCTGGCTGCCGGGACGGCCTAGGCTGTCTGGACTGCCTTGACAGCCTAAGCTGCTGCCTAAGCTGCAGCATAGACTGCCCAGACTGTCTGCACTGTCTAGTGCCTAGACTTCCCTCGGGAACGCGGGGATGGACGGCGAACTCCGGAATGTTTTCGACGCGCTTCTCCGCCCGAAGGCACCAAGATCCGCCTCCCCTCCCAGTCGCTCCGGACTCAGGGGTGCTCCGAGGGCAGCGGGTCCAGGAAACCAGGGCTGCAGAGCGTCGGGGCGACGTCTGGGGGGCGACGGCGGGGGCGTCCTCGCCGAGCGTGCGTGGAGTAGTGACTAGCGCTCGACTGGCCCCCGCACAGGCCGCGGGCCGCAGGCCTTGCCGCAGGCCGAAGGAACAGAAAATACTCGGTCCGCGTTCGGACATTCATTACTCATTATTCACTATGCAGCGTCGGGGTGGATCGAGAAGCCTCCCGGGGAACAGCGCCACCAACAGGCCGGCCAGCAGTTGAGCGCGACAGGCGCGGATCCAGAGAGGGCGGGAGTGGCGGCCGGCAGGACAATTGCCGCCCCCTTTGGCCAATAGACAGCCGCCTGAAAGGTAGACAAAACCAACACTTTGCCCTGTAAGAAAGCAAAATGTGCTACTTTGCCCCCCTCTGGATCCGCCACCGCAGCGCGACGGCAGTGGCGAAGACACAAACAAGTCTTCTTGCCTAGCTCGCTGGAGATGGGCAAGCCACCCCTGCTCCTCTGCCACGCCACTGCGGGTGCTGAGGAGCGATCCCGCGCAGTGCGGCCGTCGGTCTGTCTCTCTCGCACCGATGCGGAACGCCGCATGTGCAAGAGAGAGAGAGAGCAGGAGTCATTCTGCTGGTGCGGCCGTGTCCGCCTGTCCCCGTTCCCAGGCCTTCCCCCTCCACCCCGTCGCAGGCTTGCCGAGGCTTGCCCACGGTGTCCGCGGAGAGCGCTTAAGCCCGGCCTTGGGGCTTAAACCACCGTGGTTGCTCCTGACGTATTGGTAACTAGGACGATTCGCGACATTGCACATATGGATTACTTTAACATTAAATTATATTACCTATTTAATATAAAAACAATCATTAAGAGGAAGAAGACGAAGTAGTAATAAAAAATAATTAGGGGAGGGCTGGTGACACTCGGTGCGGCTCCGTCACAGCTCAGCCCCAGCGCCAGAGAGGGCGGCTTGGGCCTGGGTCTCGGCCTGGGCCTCGGCCTGGACGATGGAGGACAGGGCGTCGTCGCGGCGTCGCGGCGTCGCGGCGTCGCGGCGTCGGGGCTGCACCCCGTCCTCTGCCTTCACGGGCCGAGAGGCCATTCTGGAAAGACGAGCGCAAAGTTAAAACCCACTTCCTCAAAGAAAAAAGAAGAAAAACAGAAAGATTTTCCAGCCAGAATTAGGGGTTTGTTCAAAACAACATGGATTTTTCATCAACTCAAGACGATGAGCTTTTACATCGATTCTACGTCGAATCGACGTTGTTTTGAACACCTATAATTCTGTCTGGGTTTGCTGCGGGGGCGCTTATGCTTCGCTTGCTTCTCTTACCGGGGCTACTGGTTGAGCAAGGTGTTGGTCACCTCAGAGATGGACAGCAGAGGACTCCCGGCCGGCTTATCTGCGGGTAGGCGGAGGTGTCGCTTGGGGGTGGGCTGCAACGGAAGAAAGACACGCGTAAGTCACAAAACTCCTTAAGTTCGGCAAGTTATAGGTATCCTAGTGTATTCGCATCAAGGCGGTAGATGCTAACTACACTGTAAAAAAGGTTAATCGAACCGACTAAAATTGGGTTGATTTCTTCAGTGATGGTCCACTGTCCCAGAAATTACCCAACTACAGTCAACAAAACCAAGAGTTACACTGTCGTTTTGACTAAACTTTCTTTTACAGTGTGTTCAGTTCAATGATCAGCAGTCTATATTCAAGCTTTAGAGCAGTTATGGAAAGACAAGCTTTTTGCCACGGACTTTAGAGGGATGACACATTTTAAAGCACACACTCGCAACCCCCTGCTTGCATTAGTCAGTGCATGTGCGATGCTTGTCGTCACCCGCGAACACGTCAGCACACGTAACACGTCAACAAAGGTGGACGCAAACCGTTCTGTTCCGCCCATCTCTCAGTCCACAGCCTGGATGGTGGCCTTACAACTAAAAGACGGTGCTCAAGAAAGACGCAAGTCAGACCCCACCACCGTCCGGTCAGTTGCCGGGGAAAAAAAGCTCGAAAAATCATCGGCCGTACTGTAGGAGTGTACGCCTTACTTCACCCAGTCTGCACTTCCAAGGCATCAGTCAATCTTACTGCCTCCGCGATTAACCCTATACAAATCTTATTGCTGATTTGTGGCACTAAGGACTAATTCGCAGAAGCAAACATGGATGCACGCATTCATTGTCGGTGGTCCAAGCCGTATCAAGTCGAGACACACATTCGAGCACACTCAGTCATACGTTAGAGCGCCTTACAGGCGGCAGCACTGCGGGCAGGCATGTACGATGGGTGGCCTACCCACAGCGCTGCAAGGCGCTTCGCCACACTTCAAGCAACGAAACGCCTTCACACACACGCACTCACTCACTCACTCACTCTCTCTCACACACATACATACACTCACACACTAACCTCACACACAAAATACACACGCCACCCCATGCCCATGCCACATGCTAAGAAAATGCTTAAAGTGACGGTGTGTTCAACTCACTGGGGGTTGTGGTGTTGGTAGGGGTGGTAGTATTGTGCGTGGTGCCATACCTCGCCAGCGCCCACCACTCCCGCACTGTCCCCGGCGTACCCGCTGTACTGGTACGCCTTGAGGGCGAGGGGGGACGAGGGGGTGCTTTGTGGAGGCAGCGGCGGGGAAGGCAGGGAAGGCACCGGCGCACTGTTCATCTCGGCCAGGGACTTGAGCGGGTTGCCCGGGGTGCCGCCGTTGGGTGCCGACGCGCCTTGGCTGCCGACGGGGCTGTTGGAGTGGGGCGAGGGGGACGCGGGGGCGGGCGCGGAGCCCCACATGAGAACTGTCTGTCGGTAGGGACTGCTGGCCTCCGGCTTGAGGTCCGACGACTCCATCTTGGGCGTGACCACGCCGTTGACGTGCGTCGCGGGGGACGGCCCCGGTGACGGCGAGGGCCCCGTCGAGTGGGACTCCTTGACGACCACCTTCTTGGGCGGCGGCTGGTCCTGCAGGGCGGAGGAGCCCCCGCTCACGGGGACGGGGACGGTGCTGGCGTACAGGCGCGACGAGTCGTAAGTCCGCGACGGGTCCAGGTCCAGGCACTTGGAGAAGGCGCGCGCGTCGTGGTGGTCGTACAGCTTGTCGCAGTCCACGCCGGGACCCACGGGGCCCACGGACGGCACGCGCGTTGGCAGCTGGGGGTGGTCGGCGTACGTGGGCACCGTGGGCAGGCTCACGGAGAAGCCGTTGGACACGGCGTACGGCGACGACGAGTGGTACTCGGGCACGGCCGGGTAGTACGGGCCCAGCGCCCGGTACTGGAACAGGTTGTGGTTGTCGTAGAGCGGCTGGTAGTTGGAGTGGCTCATGTACGACAGCCCGTTGTCCGTGGCCCCCGTCGTCGGGTAGGCCGTCGAGTACAGCGGGTTCAGGTTGGAGTAGGCGGCGGCGGCGGCGACGGCGGCGGCGGTCGAGTCCACGTAGTCCACGGAGCCCGTCACCTGCAACGGCGGTTTGGTTCAGTTCGGACAGCTCACAGTGTTTAGTTTTCCCCAAAGGGCCATCACGGCGGACTCACCTGGCCGGTGCCGCCGCCGGCCGCGTTGGCCGCGTTGGTGGACAGCTTGCGCTTGGTGCGGCACGTCGACAGGAAGTCCCGGAGCTGCGTCTTGTAGCGCCGCGACACCCTCTGGGTGGGCGTCGTGGAGGACGACGACGCCGGCGAGCTGCCCGAGCCGCCCGGCGACAGCCCCACCAGCTGGTCCGAGTCGGTGAAGTAGTTGCTGTTGAGCCCCGCGTCCAAGTACGACACCTTGAAGTCCATCGTCCGCTTGCCCAGCAGGTCGCGGCCCTCCTCCTCCCTGCGAGCCGAAAAGCAAACAACGTCACACAGTGTAGAGGCGGTCAGAATCCCGGACGGGTTTTTGAGCTCCAGAGTCGCTAAATGGGACCCAAACCGAACGTGTGACCCCGCCAATGGCTTGCACTCCGAACGAGGAATCCATTGGTGAGGCCACACGTTCGTTTCGAGTCCTGTGTAGTGACTCTGGAGCTCAAAACGCGTTTAGAGTTTTGGCCGCCTGCGCCGGTCTTCTGGTCCACTGTGCGTCAGCGACCGCCACGGCGTTGAACTGATACACTTCATTTGCCGCTGTGGCGGGGTAAAGGGACAGGGCAAGACTGTAGGACTGAAGGACTTTAGGGCTAGGACTCTATGGCGCTGTGGCCTCGACCGCGCCGAACACGAGGTGGGGTGGGGCGCGGTGCCGCCGCTGCAGGGCGGTGCACTGTTTGATCGGATGAGGGCTGCAGGGCGCCAAAGGGTTGTAGGGCTGCAGGGGCGGAGTCAGAGGCGGAGGGCTTGTTCCTAAACACCTTAGGCTGCGGTTGTGAAGGGTTGCGGGGCTAAAAATAATCAAATTGGGGTTCGAGTCGAGCTGGTTTTGCGACTGCGGTTTCGAAAAGCATATTTTGGGTTGTGGGTTCGCCGACAAGGCTGTGGTAGGTAGGCCCCACAGTGGCTAGGGAGAGAGGTGGGTGGAGGGGGTGGCGCTAAGGCATGGCCATGCCCCCTTCACGGGACCAAGCGGGGACCAAAGGGCCGTTAGGGCCTAGGGCTGACTGGGCGGGGGCGGGGCGGGGCGTATGTGCAGTGTACACCCGGGGCTTCAGTTTGCCAGCCTGCCACTGTCTGCCACACCTCGTGCACTTGCATGTAATCTGGTGCGGCTCAGCCCCGTGCTGACACCTGCACAACCGAGGGGGTAAACACTTCAAGAAATCGTGTACAGACTACTCGGTATTACGCTGTATTACGGGTGTATTACACGTGTATTACGGCCCTAAAATGCCCAAATTTGGCACATTTGACCCAAAAATGGTATTACGATCACGTGTATTACGCGTAATACACGGTTTTTGTGTACAGGGTATTACGGGAGTGGTTACCCCCTCGTGCACAACAAACAACTCCACAGTGTAGGGGCCGCTTCCTTTTCACCTGACAATTTTATCAAGTCAGTGGGCACTTTGCATAACGTGACACTGGTAGTTTTGCCAGGACGTGTGTCTGTCTTCTGGTCGAGCTCCTTTTCGTCGAAACATCGCAAGACTTCGACAGGTTGTGGAGGTTTCAGCCAGTTTTGACTCCATTTTCGAGAGTCTGTTTCACTGAGAACTTAAGAGTCATAATCACGACTTTCAGGACTAAAATTTTTGGATTCTCTGACGCTTAAATTTCGGAGAGGAAAACTTTATCACTCTCGAGTCAGGTCGATTTTCTCGTCTAAATTTGGTCGATAATACCAATACAGTATACATCCACCATCGCCCAAATTTGTTGGGAGATAAAGCCTTCGAAATTTGGGTGATAAAATATTATCCCTACCGAAATTTGGGTGATATATGGTCTTGATCATGACTCTTCCACTCCCGGTGAATTGTTGGCCAGTGTAGGCCCTCCTTCCTGCCTCCGCTAGTGTACTCACATGAGGGGCCGGTGCGTGCTGATGACGAAGTCGGGCTTGGAGTTCTTGTAGACTAGCCGCGACGAGGTCTGCAACCACTGCCAGGTCGCGTCCTTGCCCTGCACTCGGTACGCGATCATCCCCGAGGCACCCGTTTTTAACACTGCGGAAAAAAAGCAAAATCGAGTCGAGGTCAGCACTCCTTTGGCGCCAAATCGTAGTTTGACTCCTCTCGTCGTGCTCACTCACATTCTTGGTGTGCGCTAGCGACGTAGGCGAGGTCGTCGTAGTGCACCATGTCGTAGCCGCCCATGTTGGCCAGCTCCGAGTCGGAGTAGCCGAGGAGCATCTTGCCACTGAAATGCAGAAAAAAGGGTTAGTGTACTGCAGGTCCAAAATGGCCAACACAGTTTGGCATCGCTTTGCAAGACGAAGAAAATGAAGGCTAAGAATGCCTCCATCTTCTTCGAAGTTATAAAGCAGATCCTTGTCGACTTTTTACAGTGGAGCTTGAGCTCTGTAAAAACATCAAGTCCAATTGATGGCAAATTGTTATTGCCAGCCATTTTGACTAAGGAGACAAGGTACTCTCAAAGTCAAAACAACTAACCCAAGTTTTAAATCAATCTTACAATTATTTTTTAATTGTTTTTCAGTGTCATTCGGTGCTTACCGTTGGTCCATGGAGACTAGGGTGAGGTCGAGCTTGTGCTTGCTCTTGAACATGACTTCCTTCTGCGGCACCTCGAGCAGCGAAGGCGGCCCGAACGGCGTGCAGAGCGCGAACAGTGCCAGGGGCGGCTCCTCCGTCTTGCGGTTCTGGCCGTGGAGGACCTTGACCCGGCCGCGGATGTCCAGTCTCTGCGACAAACACGGAACCATCAGGACACTTGTTAGAGATCCAGACAGCTAGGAGAAACTTAGCACAATTTAACATAAAAACACGCCCACAAAAAATTCACTCTTTCGGGTGTGTATTTTCACAAAATTTTCGATCGGATTGTTCAGTTTGTGTGGAGGGGGGATGGGATAGCGATTGTTTTCGTTGGGAAGGCGGAGGGGGGGGGGGAGAATCCATCGCATATTTTTCGCTGTGCGCACGTGACGTCACTACATGCATACCAGCAGCACAGCTAGGCGACCTACGCGCCGCGATGGTGTCCGTCTTCATCAACGAGAGCACTTGACCACTGGTCAGAAACCACCACGAAAACAACAAAAACAAGGAACCTCCTCGCATCGCCTTGTTTCTGCGGACAGAGTGAGCTGCCCGATTCCGAATATTTTTTAAAGAGGTAAACACCCTGGCTTTAAAAGAGCGAAAAATTAAGCGAATGGAATGCCTGTTTTACGCACGCGCGTGTGTGTGTGTGTGTGTGTGAGAGAGAGAGAGAGAGAGGGGGGAGGGAATCGCCACACGGATCTTGATCGGACGTCCGGCCGCCTGTCCTTGTCTCGATCAGCACGGAAGTGCGGAACGTCATACCTAGCGGCCATTCATAAAAAATAAAAATAAAAGAGCAACAACAACAACAATACGCTAGAAACCGAACGGTCCGGGCGATGTCGACCCTTGATAGGGCCGCGAATGCCATAGCGATACGTAAACAATTCCAGCATCACCAGGAACTGCATCGACGAGGCTGGACATGAATGGTCGCCTGCACCACAAAACGATCGTGCGCCATTCATTTTTTTTTCAGCGCGTCTTTCGTGCCTCAGGTCCCAGGGTCCCCGAACAAACACACAAACAAATTTAGAGTGTATACGAAGTCTGGTCTCGAAAAGTTTTGCGACTCGGCCCAAATGCAAACGTGTCGAGCGATCCCTTGCATAGGAATCGCACTCGGGTCCACGGGACCTTCACAAACGGGACAGATTCGGATCGGCCGATGGCACTATCGGGGTATTTCCTGGAAGCGACAGCAAAGCGCGCGCGTGTGTGTGTGTGTGTGTGTGAGTGCGTGTGCGTGCGTGTTGGAAGTCGTGGGCACACGCTCTGCTGGACCTGCAAGAATATCCACGTTATAATGGTTACAATCGGCAACGAAAGAAAGGAGGTGTAAAGCAGAGTGCAAACAATATTAATCAGAGCAAGACAATCAAAGGCTCACAGGCAAAAAAAATAATCAATATTTCTGGTTAAAAAAAGGAATTTATTTTTTAACTGTGTAGGAAGGATAAAAGAAGGCTGATTTGACGGGGGCGCGGCCGATTAGGCATGAATGGAAGCGTTAGCATGATTTACGATTCGCGCGGCGGATTGGCCGGCCTCGCCATTCCGAGGGGCGTAAAAAAGGGTAGGCAACCCGCGGCAAAGCGACGCGTCTGCTCGATTGCCTGTTTGCATCGCACTGTAAATGTCTTACGGCGAAAGGCTGCACCAACATGGTAGAGATTTTCTCCATAATACCAACGAAATTCGTCAAAATATCTAAAGGGACAGTGAATTCTCGCCATGCAGTCAGCTGCACCACCATAATATGGAACATTTCACCATATGGAGAATCTTCACTGTACAACATTTAGAGTGTGCCGCCTGAATAACTCTCTGTTGGCGAAATTCGAAGAGTCTCGCCTCTTCTACTCTTTAGGTACCCGCCGAGCCACTGCACCTTTCGATGGAAAAAAAGAGACCCTAAGGAAATAAAAAAAGAAGAAAAAAAGAGGTGTTTTGGACCAAGGAAAGGTTCTGCTCTGATTCAATTTTGTTACACAACAACGCAAGCCCACACCTGACAATACCGAAAAGGTGAGCGGCCGAGCAAAGAGAGCCGGCCGCCTGCTTTATTCCTCTTTTTCTTTTTTTTTCGTCACTTCCCTCGTTCGCGGCTCGTCTCTGACGCAAATTACTTTCCGCGCTCTTCTCTTATTTGAAGTTTTCGGTTACGAGTTTTCGGACTGTAAAGTTGGGGGCCCTTGAGAGAGAGAGAGAGAGAGAGAGAGAGAGAGAGAGAGAGAGAGAGAGAGAGAGAGAGAGAGAGAGAGAGAGAGAGAGAGAGAGAGAGAGAGAGAGAGACGGACGGCGTTGCGCATTGAAATAACGTGAAATAACGCTGACTTTTATGTCGTCACAACTCGGCTAGAAATGTTCCTCAGAAAGCGAGCAATCAAACTAAATGACAGAAATCAGTAGCACTTAATAACGCGTATGTTAAGTATATCATTGCGTAGTATACTTCAGTGTAGTGAAAATACTTCCGTTGGCGGATTATCATAAATGAGAACCCCTTGAAAAAATCCTCTCTATAATTTTTGTTCTGTTTTTTTTTTGGCCAAAGAAGAGGTGGGAGGGGGGGGGGATCGGTGGAAATGGCGCAGCCCCATCTTGCGCAGCCTGTCGCCGCCGGTGCCCCATAGACCTCGCCGGAGGTCGCTGGGCCCCCTCGAGTCGTTCCGGGTGCCGCGCAGTGGACTGATTCCGAGAGACATGCCTCTGTCTCCCTCGCACTCACGGGGCGTTCTGCATCGGTGCGAGAGAGACAGAGCGACGAGAGCGAGTCTGCAGTGGCGCGCCGAGGGCGTGAGAACGGCCGAGCCTCCGGGAGAGCGGGTCGGAGAGTCCGAGCGAGGCGAGCGCGGCGGCCTAATGCCCCATCGGGCCATCGGGCCATCGGGCAGGCCCACTAACGCGGCAGCGCGGTCCACTACACTGGCGCGGCCGGAAACCAAACGAGCGCGTTCAAATGGGGCGCCCGCTTCGCCGATAAAAATGACGCGTTCTGAGGAAACGGGCGCCGCGGCCTGGCGCCGAGAGATCACTCCGTCCCTCTCGCACCCCCACGGGACGGAGAGACGAAAGAACCGCCCCTCTGAATCAGAGGGCGCGGACCAGCGGGCACAGTGGGCCAGAGGACCGGCGCCTGCGGCCAAAACTCCAGACGCGTTTTGAGCTCTAGTCGCTAAACAGGACCCGAACCAAACGTACGACCCCACCAATGGACTCCTCGTTCGGAGAGCAATCCATTGGTGGGGTCACACGTACGGATCGAGTCCCATTGTGGAGCTCTAAACGCGTCCGGGATTTTGGCCGCCTCCACCGGTCTTCTGGCCCACTGTGGCAGGGCCAGCGCGGCGTCCGGCGGCAAAGACGGGGACGGCGACGGCGCTCCGACGGGGCGGGGGCCGCGGGGGCAGGGCTGTAATGATAGGTTGGGTGCGGAGGGCAATTACTCAATTATCGAGTTATGACTGACAGCTGCTGAGCAAAGACGAGCAGAGACGGGCAAGGCGAAGGCAAGGCGAGGGCCCCGATCAAGTGTAGCGGAGCGGGCGGAGCGCAGCGGGCCGCCCACGCCTCTCCTTTGGGCTTTGTCTTTGATTTGGCCGGCGGCGTGGCGCGCCGTGGCCGGTGGACTGATTCAGACGTCCCGCCGTCTCTCTCGCACCTATACGGCACGCCCATGAGTGCGAGAGAGAGTGCGAAATCGTCTCTCGGTAATCAGTCTGCAGTCTTTGGGTCAAACCGGGACTGCGGCGCCCACACTGCAAATCCATTGGCAAACGGAAAAAATTAAAAAAATCCTTGTTTTGGAAATTAGAGCTTTGTTTGACAGACTAGTCGGTGCCTTAGTGGTCTAGTCCGCGCACCGACTGACCGAAGGCCATTCTAGAGAAGCAAGAGAAATGCAAAAAAGAAAAGCCCCGCGCCGCGCTTCGCTGGAGAAAATGAAGGCGTCGTTTCAGGATCACAAACAGTGCGCTGGCGCCAGTGTCGTGAGGGGGCAATGCTGGACCGCATTCATCTCTGCCTCAAAAAGAAAAAACAAAACAGAGAGAAAGGGAAGTCCGACTCCGCTCTCTATTAATGATCTCGCATTTATTATGTGATAATAAACGGGAATCGTTGCCGCTTGTGTGTCACCCCTCGTGTGCACAGATGATCCACCCAACCCTATCAGTTTTGACCCCATTTACTGTGCCATTCACTGTGTCAAAAAGCTACGGAAAATTCTGCTATTTTTTTTTGCCAAGGTTTTCCGTAGCCCCCCGTAAGACATTTCAGTATTCTCCCAAGGACTATACACAGTTTGTAAGGTCCTAAGAAGGAGACTGTAAGGTTACGTAGGGCTACGGAAAATTATCACAAGTTGTTTACAGAATTTTCCGCTCCAACATATTATGGTGGAGATTTTCTCCATAATACCAACAAAATTCGTCAAAATATCTGTAAGGTACAGTGAATTCTCAATGGTATGTTATGAAATCAGCTAATATGGAGAATCTTCTCTGAACAACATTTAGAGTGCGAAGCCTTTTGCCACAGTGATTTTGGGTTAGGCCGGGTACTCACGAGGAAGCCCGAGGTGTTGTCGAGCAGGCATCGGAAGCGCACGGTGAAGGAGCGCTCCAGGAGGTGGGAGTTGTCGGGCTGCAGCGCCTCCGTGAGGCTCACGCCCGAAGACTCCGGGGGCAGGAACGAGTTCCACAGCAGTTGCCGCTGCAGCTCCTCGCGGTCCTCCGAGTGCACCAGCTCGTACACGCTCTGGTGGACAATGTCCGACTGGAACAAACACACCGAAAATAACGTTAATGCGAGGCAGAAAAAATAGGGAGTCATTATTGTTGCCGACGACTGAGCCAATTCATTTTGAGGTTCCGACAGCATTTTTAGTTCACAGTTACATTGGTTGTTGATGTTTGCGCCCAAAACAAGGGGTTTCTTGGATCAAGAAAATTTTAACTTTTTTAAAGGAAAAAATTCTTGATTCAAACTGTTTTTTCTTGTCTGAAGAAACATTTTCTTACAAAAACAAGAAAAGTAAAAATTAAGAAACCTTCTGGGTTTCGTCGATCGAAAGGAGGAGGCATATTCCGCGTACTTTCTCACGCCAGTACTCCGGGGATTTCCAAGACTTTAACATGTGATTTCCCTGCGGTCGATCAGGACTTTGCAAATTTGAAAAGGGCTTCATTGCCCGGACAGAAAAGTGTCGAAGTCGGGTCCCGCGTGCATCCTGCTGCACCTTCATCACCCACGCCTTCCTTTCATTATAACGTCGTTAAAGCGACGCCCGGCGTCGCGTCCTCGCCCCGTCGCTCCGTCTCTGTCGCACCCCTACGCCCTACGGCACGCCGCACGCGTGCGAGGGAGACGGACGACGAAGGCCCTTCACGGCAATGAACGGGACGCGCGCGGGTAATTTGCAAAAGGTGCCCCTCTTTTTTAGAGAGGTAAGTCACGGCGTCTCGAGGGGCCGTGGAGAGACGCGGCGCGCCGAGAGGCGAGGGCTCGGACGAGGGGGCGAGATGGAACAAATAATAAATTTCAAGCGACCTGACTGGGAACATCGGTAGCTGGCAGTGCGTTACGCTGCGCTACGCCAGGGAGCCGCCCTGGCTCTCTCTCTCTCTCTCTCTCTCTCTCTCTCTCTCTCTCTCTCTCTCTCTCTCTCTCTCTCTCTAATGAATGCATCAGTATCGGCATGCAGCGTGAGTCATTCGCTGACGGCGCTGGCCGGGCCATGGCGGGCGAGAGGGCCGATTTCGAACAACAATCGCTCTGTCTCTCTCGCACCCCTACGGGGCGCCCCATGGGTGCGAGAGAGACAGAGCGAGGTGTCCGGAATGGCCCGCTGGATTGCCGAGTGTGCCTTGCTCGAGGGGCCGACGGACTTTGGGATTGCAGCGGATGTTGAGGCGTCGCCCACGGCCCGATGAAAGTGACGCTGCACTGCCAGACTGCCACAAGGGCTCCGGGCTCCGGGCTCGGAACCCAAAAGGGCACCTCGGAGACGAGTCAAGCCACAGCGGAAGGCGTCAAGGCAGTAAAGGACCGCGACAAGACATGTATGCGAACTTGGTGCCGCAGTGCACCGCCTGCGCCTGAAGCCACTATGGGACTGTGCTGAAATTTCATTGATCATTCCCAGTCGACAGTTCACTGGGCATGATTCGAGGTGAGCTCAGTACACTCTGTCTAGAGTGTACTTCCCCGGACTAAATGCAGATTTGTGGCAGAGCACGGCGCCCCGTCAGACGTGCCGATGGATGGACGCTGCGCTGCGGGACGCGAGGCCCTGGACGCCGCGGCCCTACTTCCGACAGCCAATGGGCGTCCTCGGCGCCAGCCAATCCCAGCGGGCCCGGCCAATCACCGAACGGGCCGGTCATCAGCAGACTCATCCCGAGAGTCCTTTTCGTCACTCTGTCTCTCTCGCACTCATGGGGCGTTCCGCCTGGGTGCGAGAGAGACAGAGCGACGAAAACGACTCTCAGTCTGCAGCGTGGCGGAGCACTGCCGCGGCCGATAGACATCTCTGTGCATCCCGGCGCCATAATTATATCACGACAAAAATAAAAATAAACAACTATGGAAAAACCCCGGGCTTTTGCCGCAGCCAAAACGCCTTGATCGTCCTGACCACAGCACTGCTCGAAATAGTTGGATCCGGAATAAACAGATGGAGACTACTACCGAAAAAATGTTCCATTTTGTAAAAAAAATAAAAATGTAAAATTGTAACTATTTTACTGTGCTGGCGCTAAACGGTTGACGCGAACGCTCGGTTCTCTTTCGCAGCGTTATCCCACGTGGTCCAGCCAGAGAGAGAGGGTCCGCGGTGCTGCGAGGATGTTCCTCGTTCGTTTACTCCCTTCGTCATTGACAGTTCCTGCAGAATCTGTTCTGCGGGACACGGGAAACACGTGTCAGGCGTCGCCAGCGGCGCTGTCCCACGCGCGCCTGCCACGCCACGCCACGCCACGCCCCACCACCCACGCCACGCCGCGCCACCCACTGGCCCATCCAGCTTGCCTGGCCCGGAGACGGGGGGATTAGGCCCCGGATACCCCGGCTGGGACTTGTTCCGGGGACAAATATCCTGTGCAAATTTCGATAGGCATAAATTTCGGCAAAATTCCCCCCTGGCTTCGCAAGTCGGGTTCCCCCGTTCGTTACCAGCTGAGCACGGAAACAAACACACCCACGCACCCCACGCCACGCCACGCCGCGCCACTGGCGCCCATGCCGAGCTTGCTCCTGGCGCCCCGCGGATGTGTACGGCGGGGCATTTAGGCCCCGGCGATGAGGCCCCGGCGTGGGACTTGCTGCCGGGGCACAAATTATGGCTGTACTTGCAAATTGTTCGATAAGTAGCAATAATAATTATTGTCAGGGCGATGGATATGCTCCCCCTGGCTTCGGCAGGCTGGCACCCCCTGCTGCTCGCTAGCCTGCCAGGCCGGATGCATGCGCAAACACACACACACACACACACACACACACACACACACACACACACACACACACCACACAAAAGCGAGTACTGCTGACAGACATGGCACTACTGACAGTCATGGCAGCTAAACAGAAGGCCCTAGACACATGGCTGATGGGAGGTGTCTGATATTTCTATATTTTTTTCCGGTCTTTTTTTTTCTGCTTTTAAAAAATGATAACTGATTTTCCAGGCTTACACCTCTTGACGAGATGAGTTTTTATCGGGCTCTGTCGGAAGTGCCGAGTAAGACACCTACGCTGAGAAAATCTCGAGGCACAGAAACACATGTGAAAACAACGTTGGCCGTGTCGACGGAATGTGTCGGCCCGCGGTGGCTTGGAAACGGCGCGGTTTCCACCTACTCCTCGTCGATTCCCACCGAGAGGCAGCGTTTTGCAAAGATATGCGTCATTCCTGGTCCCGGCGCTCCAGACGCTCCCCCCCCCCTCCCCCCTCTCCGGTCTTTCCTCTCCCGCGTCGATCGAACCGAACGGATTTTTCAATGTTGATGTTAATTGTGTATCGTATATTGGTCCAGGACATAGCAGCGGGGCGCCGCGTCCCAGCATCCAACAGCACTGCAACATATCGCACACACACACACACACACACACACACACACACACACACACACACCGACCGACACAAACGCGCGTACACACACACTCTCACACACTCGGTTTATTGAGTGGTCTGCCTGGGCCGGAGACGCCAGGTGGAAACCACCACCGCCCCCTTCTAGTCTAAAAAGAAAAGAAAGTGAAAAAAATGGACAAAAATGACACAAAAACCGCAGTGTCCCCCAAGTAACTACTGTCTGATATTTTTCAAATGAGATTTGTCCGTGGTGATGCAAAGAGGTCATGCCCCTGTTTGTAAACAAACAATGGGACCAAAATAAAAATCATCTTTGGTTTTTCTCAACGGTAAAGTTTTCTAGCTCCTCTCCAATCTGCACCGTCGACACCCTTGAAATTTTACAAACTTTTCTAAGGCCTTACTAATAAAGTTGAGCGGTTTTACAAAAAGTTTTCAGAATGCACAAACTCTTGAATAATAAAGCATTTTCCTAGTGTCAAGATATTTTTTTACAAAAAAAAAAGAACAAAAAAAAAACCCAAGAAAATTAAAAATCAAGAAATTATTATTTTGGGTGTTGATCTCAACCAGTCAAAGACTCTGCCACTACCGCTCCAGATTGTTGATCCCCACTCACGCTCACCGAACAACGTGCTTTACAAGGTGTCCCCTCCTGTCCCCTCCCGGGTCGTGGCGTGGCGCGGCGTGGCGTGCCCCGCGTGACGGTGTGACGTCACGCTCGCGTGGCGCACGCTAGCGCACGCCCCGCCGCGTGCAGCCACGCCACGCCAGCGAGTGGCGGTCAAAGGCACGGCGCCATTGATTTCGACAACGCCTCGTCAACCACTAGACGCACCCTGACCCACAAGAGAGTACAGTCGCCGCCCAGCAAGAGGAACAACCCCCTTTGGAAAAGGCTGTTGTTTTCGCCTGTCCCTCACCACTCGTCATGAACGAACCCAGGAACGACCGACTCATCAAATGTGGTCAAGTCACTCCGCTTCGTTTTGGTATCTTTTTCCTGGTTTTGATCAAAGAGTTGACAGAGTTGTGAAAAAAGGTTAAGTCAAATCGATTCAACCTAAAAGTTTCGGTTATTTTGATTTAGTCTTAGTGACGAATTCACAGGAAAAATAGGCAAAATGCTATTTGCGAGAAAATCGGCTCAATTAAAGTCGATTCGACGTAACTTTCGTTTACGGTTAACAGTGAAGGGCCGAAGACTGCTGCTCTTTCTCCGAGTGACGCGTTGCAGTGACGTGACGCAAGCAGTGTAAAGGTTGGCCGCGCGTGCGGCTCGGGGGGTGGCATGTGTTGGGGCAGGTCGGGTCCCGATACTACAAAGTCAGGCCGTGCCGTGCGGGAACCAATCAGAAGGCACGTCGACGGCACGCGGCTGTCAGAGAGAGAGAGAGAGAGAGAGAGAGAGAGAGAGAGAGAGAGAGAGAGAGAGAGAGAGAGAGAGAGAGAGAGAGATGCATCACGCGAGCCGACGACGTCGCAGAGGCCGTCTCCCTCTAACCGGGCGCCGCGACGGCCGCGACGGGGCGCACAGTGCACAAGAACCACGGCCGCTAAATCAACCCGATGATTCCTCTGGATTCGGTGCAGCGGGGCGGCCAGGCCCGCGGCCCGGCCACACCGACTGCGGCGCCGCGTCTTTTTGCACTGCCGACGTGGATTGATAGTGTGTGCCCTCCGACGTGCACGCCTATAACCTATAAGGTAAGATTTTCGAGGATATTTATGGAACAAAAATAGTTCGCCAAATCGCCGACCCTGACAGTGTGCACCCCACGGAGTGGGTGACTACTCGCGGATTGCCCGCACCGCCTTGTTACACTCCCCCCCCCCTCTCAGTCATAATTGACGACACCCGTCTCTTGATCAGGCCGCGGGCCGCGGGCACGCTTCATTAATCAGCCGGCAATCGATGCGGTGATAAATAAATCGACACGAGATCTGTCCCTCCCAGGCCGTGCCGCGCCGTGCCGTGTGCCCCTGGGAGCCCCCTCCCCCTCCCCGGCCCTTCTGGTGCACCAGACACGCACACCCCCGACGCGGCCACGTTTTCGGCCAGCCCATTCGCCGTGCGGCTTGACCGCCACGCCGCCCTCGCAGGGCTTTCGGTAATCCGCCGCCAAGCGCTCCGGTGACGCGCGCCGTCGCCGGACAGTGGGCCAGGAGACCGGCGCAGGCGGCCAAAATTCGAGACGCGTTTCGAGCTCCGGAGTTGCTGAACGGGACTCAAACCGAACGTGTGACCCTACCAATGGATTCCTCTTTCGGAGAGCAATCCATTGGTGGGGTCACTCGTTCGGTTGAGTCCCGTTCAGCGGATCTGGAGGTCGATACGCATTTGGGATTTTGACCACCTCCACCAGCAGCGTGGAGCCGTGAAGCGCCACGCTCGCCGTCGCATTGGCAGTGGGAGCGCCGTGCTCGAGTCCGGGTAGGCAACCCGCACGCAGCCATGACGGCGTGCTGCCTACCCACGCATACCATTACCATTACGGGCTAGACCACACAATGTGTGGCACACATGATCGTATGCCGTTCGCCGTGGCCGGAAATCCAACCGCTTGTTTCGGAACATGCCCCTGAAGTACTTACGCACTGATTTTACTGTCCCTCGTTGACAGTACCTGGTGAAACCACCCCAGAGTACCATGTCACACTATGTCACGCCACAAAAGGCACTTTTGGGGGGTTTTTGGTGTACAGGCCGTTAGAGGAAGCGGGACTCACCTGGTGGAAGCCGAGGTAACTTTCAATGCTGTGGGTGGCGAAGAACACTTCTCCCTCGCAGGTGAGAATGAGGAGGAAGCCGTTTAACGCCTGGAACAGATAAAACAAAAAACACGCTCGTTTACTCCATGTTGGCTGTCAAGACGCGCATAACCGGGCGGGAGGCACTGCAGACTGATTCCGAGAGTCTTTTTCGTCGCTGTGTCTCTCTCGCGCTCAACGGGCGTTCCTATAGGTGTGAGAGAGGCAGAGCGACGACGAAGACGACGCTCTCGGAATCAGTCTGCTGTGTCGCGGGCTGCTCTGCGATATTTCCCCGCACACTGCGATGGAAAAGAAGCGCACCGTGACTGGAGTACCGCCCCGACGTCGACGGGCTCTGAGCGACTTGTGGCCAACAGTGCAAAAAAAAAAAGAGAAAAACGGACTGCTTGCACACTAAGCCCTGCAGTGCTGCCGATAGTATTCGCAAAGCTCCGCCATTCAAATGAATAAAGTATCGTCTCCATGGTTCTGGCTGGCTCATCGGTTTATAGACCTGCAGAGAATGTGTGCCTTCGCGAGAATCAATGGACGCGGCCAACGACTTTTGCACTGTAACGAATAAATTTTGAAAAATTACAACAGAAGAAAGAATTGAAAAAATATGGAAGGAGAGTTGATTAAATTTTATTTCACTTTTGAAGTGGTTGAACATTATTTACTACACTGGAAACTTAGATGGTCACTCAGGTGTTAAAACTTAGTTGCTCTACTGGATGCTCCACTGTACCAAGTCCACAAGTTTTCAGCGAGGGGGCAACAACTCGAGAAAAAAAGTGTCCCCTGGAGACCTAGAAATCTCTGGAAGTCCGAAATTTCCCCCCCAAAAAAAAAGAGGCAGATTTTAGGAGTAAAATTGGACGAAATCTAGTGAAATCCAACGAAATCTGTTGTCTCAAGAAATCTTGTGTCCCCAAACATCGGACGTGGTTGCCCTCTCGGTTTCCAGTGTAATGCGCCTTGGTTGTTCAAAAATAGGGGAAAAACCATAACATAGCAGCTGAATTGATTTGCCCTTTTCTTTGTCATATTCACGGCTGGCAGTATTGACAGGCCACTGCAAGCCTTGCGGGAATAATAAAAGCTGTGCCCGTCGCCCTCGGCGCGTCCGCGGGGCGTCGATGCGCGCGCCTCGCTGGCCGCCGACAAGCTCGCCGACCTCATGACTAAGTGAGTCTCCGAGGCGGGCGGCGCGGTGCCGCGGTGCACTGCACCGCCTTCTCGCCATCCGTAATTCAAAATCAGGGCGAGCGCTTCATTAAGACACACGCCAGTGCCAACCTGTCCAGTGTGGTGGTGCCGCACACTCACTCGATGCCATCGGGGCCCCATCGGGGGCCTCGCGCAGACTCGCGGCTCGGGCCGACGCACAGTGGGCCAGAAGACCGGTGGAGGCGGACAAAACTCAAGACGCGTTTTGAGCTCCAGAGTCGCTAAATGGGACTCGAACCGAACGAGTGACCCCACCAATGGATTGCTCTCCGAACGAGGAATCCATTGGTGGGGTCACACGTTCGGTTCGAGGCCTGTTTAGCGACTCTGGAGCTCAAAACGCGACTGGGGTTTTGACCGCCCCCACCGGTCTTCTGGCCCACTGTGCGACGGCCGCGCCGCGCGGACCCTGTGTGGTGCGATCTCGCACGGCGTTTCGTCGCTCTGTCTCTCTCGCACCCCCGCGGCACGCCCCATGAGTGCGAGCGAGACGGAGCGACAGAGTCCGCAACGAGCCCGGAGCGCGCAGCCACAAGCGCGTATCTGGGGGATCGGCGGCGCGCGGTTACGCCGGCAGACCGATTCCGAGAGTCGTTTTCGTCGCTCCGTCTCTCTCGCACCCGCACGGGACGCCCCGTGAGTGCAAGAGGGACAGAGCGACGAAAGCGACTCTCGGAATCAGTCGGCCGGGCGATGTCCAGCCGATGACTGGGGTCCGTTCCTGGAAGCACCGCGCGAGGACCGAAGGCCCCAAGGGGTGCGACCGAATGGGACGTGGGGCATCAGCCGAGCCGTTCCGAAACATCGCTCTGTCTCTCTCGCACGCCGACGGGACGCCGCGCGAGTGCGACAGAGACGGAGGATCCCTTCGGAACGACTCCGCGCGCCCGCAACGGCAGCAGCGTGTAGCCTGCCCTTTTTGCCAGCACACTGATTCCGAGAGTCGTTTTCGTCGCGCTATCTCTCTCGCTCTCATGGGGCGTCCCGTGTGAGTGCGAGAGAGACAGAGCGACGAATCAGTCCACTGGCTGCGGCGCGCTGGAGCACTGGCAGAGGCCGCAGAGCCCGAGGACGAGTCCAGATTGACCGCACGAACAGCGGATGAATATTTGATGAGTTCGAAGCGTGCAGCCCGGGCAGGCTCGGCCCGCCTATCCCAGCCGGGGGCGTCGGGCCCTGCACGCACCATGCAAGCGGCACTGCACGCAGCCGCCCGCTCGGGTGGCATGTGTTTACCCACAACGTGCGAATACGGCACTGCAAATAGAGCAAGCCGCGACAGGCACCCTTCGCGAGGCACCGTGCGTGCCGCGGTCGCCGTGGCAACCGCGTGCAAATACGGGCAGGCTGCGAGCAATCGCAGTGCGTCGTTGTGCGCACGCGGGTCGGGCAAACGCACTCGCCGCCAGGTGTAGTGTAGTGGCCCGAGAGATAACTAAAATCTCGACGTCAGTTGTCTACTCTGCACTGCAAAGCCCGGCAAAGCCAGTGGTAGGTTTGCCTAGGCCAGGCCCTGGCCAGGCCGCCCCGCCTCCGACTTGTTTCCCCCATGCTGCCATTTCTCCATTTCTCCTTCCTGCCCCCCCCCCTCCCCTCCCCTCCCCTCCCCTCCCCGCACCTGACCGATGGCCGTTTTGGCCCCAACCTCGGCACACTGAACATGAGGGCGTCCCGTGCCCCCTCCCCCTATGCCGCTGTCTTCTCCATGTCAGGGGAGCTGACGTCTGTCCGGGGTTGTTTGCCTCCCTTTCCACCCCCTCCCCCCGCGCCTCCAGCTCGCCTAGTCCCACGGGGGTGCAGCAGGGCGAAAGCGAAAAGAATTTTCCTCTTTTCTTTTTGAAAGCGACTCGGCTGAGGAGGGTTTTTGCTCGCTGTGGTAAGGCAAGGCGGACTGCGGGGCGCTGCTCGGGATACCCGGAATAATCCGGCAGTTTGTGGAAAACATTTGAGCGAGTAAGGCGGCGGGGGTGGGAGCGGAGCCAGGCCACCCCCTGAGGGTTGGTGCGGCACCCTTCACCCCTGGGTCGCCCTGTTCGCCCCTCCCCGCCCCCTCCACCCCCGGCGGCCCCATTGGTCGATACGACGGGGTCCTCGCGCCGCATCAGGCCGCTCCATGATTACTGTAATGCCCGCCGGAGATGGCCGCGGGATTCCAAACGGATTCGCTCTGTCTCTCTCGCACCCCTGCGGGGCGCCCCATGAGTGCGAGCGAGACAGAGCGATGAAACGACGCACCACCGACCAATGCAGAATGGCCTTTCAGGCGAGCCAAAAGGGGTGCACACCACACTGCACAGTGCATACTACATGGAGTTCGTCAATTTCCAAGAGGAGTAACTTTCTACCTGGTTTCCATGTCGGTTGATGACCTTCTATCTAAAACCATATCACATTGATGGAATGATCACAGATAATTTGAGAGTATCTGAAGCAAATGCTCGCGGATTGAGATTTTATTCGGTTTCATTGCACCTGCTCCACCCCTTGGGATCTGCACTTGAACACAGACTCGTTGGAGGACGAAGAGTGAAAAAAAAGAAGAAAAGAAACACACCACAGATAAAGAGCGACCAAGTGAAGTGAGTGACCCTGTTTCTAGGGTCACGGGCACCATCAACGCTGCCTGCGACTGCCAGCAGGCGCAGGGCTCCAACGTTTTTAACTCTCTGTTGTGACAGAGGCGGAATTAGACTCACGTCTCGCTGCTAGCCAGCGTCTCGGAGGGACGCGGAGAGCCTAGTCGATTTGGCGGACGAAGGCGGAGGCCTTGGGGCTGATGCTAAAGTGGCGGCCGGGATCATCTCAGTCTCACACCTTCGCCTGATGCGGGGCAGAGCTCGCGCCTGATTGTGCCCGTGATTTATGGGTCTCTCTCTCTCTCTCTCTCTCTCTCTCTCTCTCTCTCTCTCTCTCTCTCTCTCCTTCTCCCCCCTTTCGTACCGACTCCCCCGCCGGGCACGTGTGCCCGCTACAGCGTGTTCCCGAGCGCCGACGTCCACGATCGATGGTCTTCCCTCGTCGCTCGTCGATGGCCGTAGACAGCCGGGGATTGTCGGAGACACCATCGGAGATGGTCGGAGATGGTCGAGGATGGTCGGAGATGAATGCAGATGGTCACAAATGGTCGGAGAATAACGGAGACTGTCGGAGAAGGGTTGCAGATGGTAGGGTTACAGATGGTCGGAGATGGTCGGAGCATGGTCGGGGATGGTCAAGGATTGTCGGAGATTGTCGGGGACAGTTGCAGGGTCGGAGACTTTGGGACTGGTGGGGTGGGGTTGATTCAGAGCGTCGGCGGGCATACAGACTCCTTTTGGCGCCCCAGACGGCGGCGCGCCGGAGAGACTTGAACGCAAGGCGCGGCGAAGACCGTGCGGGCAACAGATACACAGTCGTGAGTCAGAGAGGGAAGTTTCAGCGTAACGCTGACCACACGTTTCGAGAGCTCAGTCGTCCCTATGTATACTCGATTTGAACACACGGAGGCGCCTTATGAGTTAATGCTCTTTGGGGCGGGGTACGTTTTCAAAAGAGCACCCCAAGAAAGGTGTCTACTGAGGTCCTATCACCGCCATCAGATATCCGAAGAGCGAACCACTTTTTCCGGTTTTCAGATACATAAATGAGTTTCTATCTCCGTATCGTAACCCTTTGATGACATGGGCAATGTTGCCGCCAAATGAATCAACCGGTGCACTGTGAATAAAACAACGCTCTCCTGCCGGGTATCGAAGCCGGGTCCGCCGACAGCCGCGCGACCGATTTGCCCGGCCGGATTCCGATCTCCTACCAGACTTCCAGCGCCCCGCCTCCTAGATCCGACGGCCACCAATGGG